GGAAATAACCACTGATTTTAATGACAAGCTTTCTCAGGCTCAGAGGCCATTTTCTTGTAGAATTTTTCTATAATAAACTATAATATCTGTCTTCTTTCCTCAGACTCAGTAAAGTAAACATCTCTAAAGCCAAGTAGTTGAATTTACCAATGCTCATTTCTGCAGTTAGCTGGGTAAGAAAATCATCAGGGAGATGATTTCCATTTCTGATGGGCTTTGGTTGACTACACATGCTAGAATTTAGTCCTCTAACCATGAATCATAGATATGATGTCTGTATTAAATAAAGGAAGGCCACTTAATCAGATTTTTAAAAATTTTATAAGATTTTATTTATTTATTTGACAGAAAAAGAGAGAGATCACAAGTAGGCAGAGAGTCAAGGCAGGCAGAGAGAGGGGGAAGCAGGCTCCCTCCTGAACAGAGAGCTTGATGTGGGGCTTGATCCCAGGACTCTGAGATTATGACCTGAGCTGAAGGCAGAGGCTTAACCTGCTGAGCCACACAGTCACCCCTCTTAATCAGATTTTAAAAAACCAGCTTAGTAGTTAGATCTTCAGAAAAAGAAGATGGTCCCCAAATTCTAACTGCCATCACTTTCATAGGTCCTTGGTGTCTTTTTCCTCTTCTTTAGGAAAATATTTTGATTATTTTAATTTTTGAGGGCTTAGCATTTTTATGTATAGTCACATTAATTGATTGCATAAGGTGGCTGAATCCCAAGTGAGTTGGATGATTCTCACCTTCTCTCCGTGCCCCTTGGTTTGGGACTTACAATTGCTTTTTCAGGAGGAAATGCAATAAGGAGTGTAGCCACAGCATACACTTATTTCCATGAAAGGAAGACAAGGTTCTCTTTAGCCTAGCTGGACTAGGATAATCAGTTTGTTCTGTTGCCTTGGAATCCAAACTCAGAGGCCTATCTGGGCCAGGAAGAACATGTGAAATGTATGATTAGGACAATGGATGAGTAACAGGGAGTGGCGGGGTCTATGCTGGATGAGGGTGTGTATTCACAACTAAATTTAAAACAACAACACTGATATGTGAGCCACACGTCCATGGCTGTGGGTCAGAATGTCATTTAACTCAACGTCAGTGTTGATAGCCAGAGCAGTACTCTCCTAAACCGAAGTGATGTGAGTGCAAGGGGAAGCCATACCACGGAACCCATAGCATGAATCCCTGCTTCCCCAGTGGGTAGACACAACATTGCTTAGTATTAAATGTTCACATCTGGAATTGACACACTTGCTTCATACCTTTTCCTGAAATTTTCAGTGATTTCTATAAGCATGTTTATACCTGCTCTGTGCCAAGCACTGTGCTGGGATATGCAGATCAATAACACAGAGTCCTTGCCCTTGAGAGCCTAAGGATAGGAGGGCAAAGTAGAGACATAACAGATAAAGGCAATCAAGTGTTAGTTCTCACTCTCATTTTTGTTTTATAGGAAAAATAACAATGGTACGGCGTAAGCCAACAAGTTGGGAGTACAACAGAGAGCAGAATCATTGCCTCTAATCTCCCCCATCTAAATCATTCACATAATAAATGCACCACTATTGCCAAGAACCGCTGCCTTCCTGACTTCACTCCCGGCTCCCTGGCGCTCTGCCAGCCGGGAGGGAGCAGCTGGGATTTTGAGGCCGCTGTGTGGTAGTGGTGGTGTTAGAGTCCTTTTGTTCAGAATAAGGATATGCCCAGAGGACAACAGCTCATTCTGTGGACAGTCATCAATAGTTTCACTAAAATGATAAAATGGTAGCCAGTCGACTGTTGAACAATTTGAGCCATAATGGGAATTCCCTTGGGGAGTCCATTTTAATGCAGAATACACGAGAGGCATTTGGAAAGACAAAAAATAATAAGCGGAAAAGGCTAAAAACAAAATGGCTCAGTTCAGCATTTTCCGATGTAACTCGTACTTCTTAGTTTTACGTCTTCATTCCTAGAGCCCATAAGACAGACGCCTTCCGGAGTTGTAATTATGTTTATGTTACACGTGGTCATTTTTCTTCAGAGACTGTTTCATCACTGGTTTTATCAATGTATTGGTCATTTACAGATAGTATCCTATTACTCTAAATATGAAAATTTGAACTAACACCTCTGTGGGGCTGGTTAGTGACCCACAATGGGACCCACAGATGCCTTATTTATAGATGAAAAGTCACTTTAGTCAAAATCAAATTGAAGATGTCCCCATTATGAAAAACGATTATTTATACTCAAAATGTCAGAGATGGGGAGGGGCAGGATTCAAGTCTAGGTCTGGCCTCGAAATATGGAGCTTTTCCATCCATATCATTACTGTAACCAAGCTAGTGTTAGTTTGTTTCTTGGCAACCCACAGTTGGCAACACCAAGTGAGTTGTTGCACAAAGAAAAAAAACTTTATTTGCAGCAAATAAGGAGATGACATAGGACAGCTTCCAAAGTCATGACTCCCTAAGAATGGGTGAATGGGAACCTAATGTTTAGGGTTAGGATGAATATTTAGATAGGGAAGCCTTGTCGGCATGTATAGGGTCAGGCATAAGGTAGAATATGGGCCTTAAAGAAACGTGCCTATAGGTACATTGTTATGTCCTAGAAATGGGGTTGAGGCTCCTCCTTGGCCAGAGATTTTAATATTATAATGAGGTGAAAGTAATGGTAGGTCATTCCATCAATCAATCCATGGTACTTCTGCACAGGCTAAAGTTGGGATTTAGCTCAAAGGGCCTGGGTGTTCTGGGCCAGGGAAGTCTTGTTAAGGTGGTTGCTATCACCTAAGGCATGGTTTCAGGTTTTCATTTGCCTGAGTTGAGAGGAAAGCTGGAAGGAAGAACTTAAGGGAAAATACAAGACGACAGCAAGTACAAGCAGGTAGGCTGTGAAGATCAGATCTTTGAGTCTAGCTGGGGACATTACCACCTTCAAAAAAATTAAGGTATAAAGTGAGATCATGCCGTGTTGATTTTAGGCAAACGAGATAGCCTATTTCATTATGTAATCAAATAAGATGTTAATCTTTTGTAAAATTCATTACATATGGAGACCCTCTGGAAATTATGAGTTAATTAACCACATTAACCATGTTTTTGAAAAATTGTAACATTCCACAGAAGTGACAGGAGGAAAGAATATATTCTCTATATTCTATTTCAGTATCTCAATATCTCATATAAGTTGTAATCTAAATATGTTGCACTAATTTTTTTGAAGATTTTAGTTATTTAAAAGAGAGAGCATGAGAGGGGGAGGATTAGAAGGAGAAGCAGACTCCCTGCTGGGTGGGGAGCCTGATGCGGGACTGGATCCTGGGACTCCAGAATCATGACCTGAGCTGAAGGCAGTCACTTATCTGTATGTTGCACTATTAAAGAGTTTCTAAGCAAAGTTTTATAAAATGGCATTTCCCGGAGTATCTTCTTCCCCTGTATGGGTCCATGTTTCTCTGTTCTCTTTATTCTTCCTATCATCTAATGCTACTGGTTTGTTTTAAATCTTGAAGAAGTTCCTCAGCTTCCAACCCACTGATGACATCTTTCAAATATGTATAATTCTTCTATAATTTCAATAGGATTTAAGGAAAGAACATGGATTTGGTCCATCAACTTGAACTATGAACATCAGACAAATAATGGCTTGACTAAGTGGTGATCACAGGAAAATAAAGATCTATTATAAATATTTAAGGGAAGCAAACTCAAAGGGAAGAAATCCATCACTGAAGTATGACTAACAACAGAGAAATGAAACTCCAAGCTATTAGGAATTGTACAACAGCAGACTTGAACAGATAATGGTACATAATTGGGAGGAAATTTTAATTCTTTAAGAAATTTGGGATTAAAAGGAGTGCCATCAAGAAACCATTGCATCCTATGCCTGGCACAAAGCATGCACTTAATAATTATTTAGTAACTGAATGGGTGACATTGTCAGAAATGCTGTGGGATCTCATCCAAGCTGAAATATCAAGTTGTGAGTTGTGAGTGGTTGTGAGTGCTTTGATTTATAAAACCAGAAACTCTTTCTAAATCTAGTGTTTATCTAATACAAATGCTTTTTTTAGTAGGCCCATTTCAACCAATTCGCAATTTGGAGCTATCTCTTACTGCAAGAGTTCTTCGACACCCACTAAAAAGGTGGTTCTTTAATTTTCAGGATCTCTCTTAAATGAAATATTGATAACGTAAATTTATATTAGAGGTTAACCAGACGTTAACTTTGACGCCGGGAAGGTAACACTTGAAGTAAGGTAAGTGGCAAATGCTGATTAATTTTCTGGGGCCTTCAAAAGAGAGAAAAAACTGTTTTTATTTTTGGTATGGTTGATTCTTCACAAAATCATAAAGTACATTTGCAGAGAGGGTCTGTGAGGGTCTGTCTTGCTTTCGGAAAAGTTCCTTCAAGCTTCAGTTTGCATACAAACAACCCGGGCGTCCTGTTAAATGCAAATTAGATTAGGCAGGTCTGAAAAGGTCCTGGGAGTGCAATTTTGACAGCTCCCAGGTGATGCTGCCGTTGTTTTAAGAGTTTGTGTAGCAAAAGTATAAACGCTCCAACATCTTAGGTCACTCAATTCTCGTTTTCAACTTAAAAGATTTGGTCCAAATGTGCTTGCTGTTTTGTAACGAAAGAAAGTTCCCAGAAAACACTAAGCCTGCTATCTTCCCTCACTTTTGAACGGCAAAAAATGCGATTCAGAACTGCAGCTCCGGCCTCCACGTTTGGTCGTCCTAAGGCGGCTTTGGGGACCAGTACTCCAGTCCGGTGTTGGCGCTGCACCTAGCTGGGCTCCCGGTCTGCGGAAAACACTCACGGGCGGGGGAGACCCCGGGGATGCCCTACCGCCCCCGGTCGCCGACGCTAGCCCTTTCCAGGAACGCGCGGGCCCGCCCCCTGCGCGCGGTCGCCGATTGGCCAGGAGGTGCCGGCGTGACGTCAGGCCCCGCCCCCCTCTCCCCTCCGGCCCCGCCCCGCGGGGTGGCCTGGCGGTTTGGTCTGGAGCAGCTGAAACCGGTTTGAGCGGAGCCGCTTCCTGCCGCTCGGCGCCGCCGCGGGCTGCCTGGGGGAGCGCTGGCGAGGCGCTGACGGCGGGTGCCCGGCTTCTCGGCCCGCGGCCCTCGCTCTCGAGCGCGGCGGCGGCGACGACGACGACGGCGCGGACCCGCAGACCCGGCAGGTGAGGCGGGCCGCCAGGCCTGGTCCGGCGCTCGGTGCGGAGGCCGCGGCGGCAGCTCACGTGGCGGCCGAGCTGTCAGGGCCGCCCTGCCGGGGACGCAGCGGGACGAGGGGTGGGCAGCGTGCCCCGGCCCCCGCGGGCACTGCCCTTTCCCCCACCCCCCGGGAAACAGCGGCCTGGACGTTCGAGCCGGTCCGTCGGTGGGCAGCCTCTATCTGTTTCCACTTTTATTGTTTGCTGCCACGATCCCGTTGGGCTGCCTGGTGCTTAGTTCCCCTCCGAAAAATTTGTCAAGTGCGGGGTTCTCCCTGTACCAGAATGCGTAGAGCGTAGGACCGCCACGAGTACGCGAACTTCGGGAACGAAGAAACAAAAATTGCCACTGAAGTCGTTCGTGCACCCCTAGCCCGCAGCATGCCCCTCGCCTACCCCTACTCGCTCTGTCCATGCGTAATTCAGAGCCCAGAGTGCTCACCATTACACCATGGAACCGCCTGTCCATGCGTAATTCATAGTGTTTTGGCAACTGCTTATTTTCTGAAATTGCCTAACCACATAGTTGAAGGCATGCTTGTATAATTCAGTTATTCTTAAAAAAAAAAAAAAACAAAAACCAAAACCCGAATTCCCTTCTTATCCTAAGGAGAGGTCCCAGCCATAGACATCTTTGCTCTCCATGCAATTTTGGGAAATCTGCATCTTCTCTTTTTCCAAAACTGCACTTGGCCCAAGGCTCTGCAGATAGCCTTGGTGACTTCTGGGGGAAAGCCTCAATCAGTTAGGGGCTTCATCAGCCCCCTCTCACCCCACTGCCCGGTTATAAAGGAAATCGTTCATGAATTCAGTCATGAATTGTAGAGAATTCTTTCATTTTGAGGCAGCTGTGGAGTCCGTGTAGTGTCGACATAGAAAAAGATAGGAACCAGCAGGATGTTTAGACTTGATGATGTTTTCTTCATGGTGTTCTCTGACCCTCCCTATTCTTGCCTGGTAACTACCCTCTCCTCTACCTCTTCATGTTCTCCCTCTTGCTACATTTTTGACAGTTGTGACTTAGTTAAGAAGTAAATACAAGCTGTCAGTCCTTTTTCCAACTCCTGATGGTCTGGATACAAATAATTCAGGATAAAGCAAATAGGTAAAACTGCACATGGCCTAATCTGTTCTGGACTTAACTAGGGAGAACCAGTATTCTAGACAAAATAAGACTTAGGAAAGTTCTGTTCAGAAAAATAATGATCACGAAAGAAATCTCATAGTGACAGAGTAAAATTTGATACCTACAAAAAGTAGGTTGATGAATCAAATCCTTGTATGTAACCTAACCAGGGAAAGTATATGAACTAAACTATGCATGAAATAATATCAAGGCAAAGTGAAATGGAAAACATTTGGAAAACTTTTACAGCATTGCTTAGAAAGTTGAACCAGGAATAAAGCTGGCTTAGTGAAATCTCCAGAAATGCTTTCTTTACGAAAACCCATTCATTTTTGCATACATTTGTTTAAAATACTGGCTCAAGTATACTGGGGTCAGAATAGTGGGGTCATAACGATCCTCCAAAAGGATGACCAGAAATTAACTCAGGAAAACGTAGGCATTTCATGTATTCCCTATAGCCAGTTATGAGAACCAAAGCTGCTGGAGTCTAGGAAAAAGCAAGACTTGGAAGTGGCTTTTTTCTTTGAAAAAATTTGAAGGAAGACAGAGATGTTCTTTTTGGCCAGAAAAACACATTTTAGCTAAAAATATCTGTGCTCTCAATTTAGCTCTAAACTAAATGTTCCTGTACCTTGGTTTGCTTAAATACCCCTTTTGTTCCTCAAGCTGGTAAACCAGTAAGGTCATGTGTTGGGATAGTTTCTCTGACCATAAAAATAAAGTAGAATTTGTTTCGGCAGGTAGTGTAAACTCTGAAATATTTCTTGAATGTAAATTACAATGTCATACTTTACTGATTGCTTAAGTCTTTAAAAAAGTGTTAAAATACAGTTAGATGCTACTCAAAATCTCAGATGAGAATCCTGTTTGATATTTATCTTCAAAAAGCACAAAATGGAAGTTATATATAAAACAAATTGAGTTGGTTAAATTACATTTACTATCAGCTCGTGTACATGAAAATGACTAGATTTTTTCATCTGACTCTTGGTTTGTTTATATCTGGAAGACCTCCCCAGTCCAAGTTGGGATGATGATGATGTTGGTGATGATGATGGTTTTTTTGGCTTGTTTGAAAGAAGAGGAAGTGTTGGTGGGTGTGTACATTTTGCATTCTGCAACAGGACAGTATTTTACTTTGTCACTACTGTTTTGGTGGTAGCTGGGTGCCAAAATTGTGCATGCCAATCCTGCACCAGAATTTTGGCCTCTGTCCACGATCAAGTAAACTGGTGTAGGAGCAGCTTCCCAGGCTTTTATTTGGTATGGTATTAAATTGTGGGAGGAGGACGGCAGGAAATTAAACCAGACTATAGGACTTTTGGCAATTCAAGTGGAAAATGATGCTTTGTTGACATCCAGGAAGGTTTTTTTTGGGGGGGAGGTATTTTTGTGCTTGTGTATATAGTTTTGTACAGTACATTTACTGCAGTTGTTACCATAGCTGTTACCAAGTTACAATAGCCACTTTTACAAGCAACCTTAAGAATGAAAGTCAATTTTAATAATCAATTGAATTTGTATAAATTTCCCATTTAATGCAGTAGAAATTTAGAGGTAATTTTGTGCCAGTTGTTGATTTTAATACATAGGAATAATTACATTTGATTTCCCTAAAATTGGCTAAAATAGATATTTAAAATTGATCATAAAATAGTTGTAGCAACTGTGTAATTATGCAGATGAGATTATGTAGTCCTTTGTTGAAAACTGTGACTGTAAATACTGGGTGAAAGTAGAAGTTGTAGGTTGAGATTAAGCTTGGTTATTCAGCAGTTTTGCTAGATGATGGGGCTTTTTGCTGTGTCTCAAAATTAATTCAGTTATGTAAAAGCCAAGCTCTTTTGCTAGTCTTGAGGTTTCTTCATATAACATAAAATAAATGTTAGAGTATGGTGTTTAAGTGAACTATTTAATTATTAGAAGGGAAATAATTCCTTTTCTTAGAATTAGTACTCTGATTCCTATCAGATGTCATATTAAAGGAGAGCTAATAAGATACTTGGATAGTGATTGCTTAATGAGGGAGTTGACAGTCTATAGCTATTTTTAGATTTAGAACATTCTTTAGCAGTGCTAGAACTGGATGTATATGCTTTAAATAGATCATGTTTATTCTTAGACACAAATTATTTTGATCAAGGACAGGATTTTCTCTAGTGCACAGTCTTAGGTTTTCTAACTGAAATGGTAGAGTTACAAATAGGGAATTCTGTATTCAGGTGATATGAAACCACACTGACTGGTGGTCTTGTTTAATATGAATATTCAACGTTTACATTTTATCACTGATGTGAGTGGGATGATAAATAGTTCATAGCAAACATTGAGTCTAGATTCTTGGCCCTCATAGCAGCCCCTGTGGATCAGGTTTCTCAGTCTCAGCCCTGTTGATATTTGGAGCTGGACAATTATTTGTAAAGAGCTGTTCTGTGCATTACATGGTGTTTAACAGCTCTGTTGGCCTCTACCCACTAGATACCAGCGGTATCACTCGCAGTTGCGACAACCGAAAAGGTCTCTTGACATTGCCAAATATCCCTTGGAGGGCAGAATTGTCCCCAGTGAGAACTGCTGCTGTATATTACCGTGACTTGGAAGTGTAGTTACCTGAGCAGCTGTGTTGGTTGAATGGTCGTTGTGGAGTTGGGTATGTGTTCCTGGAGAGGGAAAGGGAACAAAGGGGAAATAGAAGAATGAATAGCTATAAAAATTACTTTATGGTTTTTAAAATAATGTAGAAATACAAATAATCTTTAAGCTGGTAACTTAATGAAATGATGCAGGGTAAAGACATTGGAATTGTTTTAGGAATATTGGTGAATTGGGGCACAAAATTTGAGGGAGGGTTTGGAGAAGTTATGTAGAATCTGCTCTTTGTGTAGAGTATGTGTTCTTTCTATATATAAGTTATATAGCACTCTTTCGAATTGATACTGTATATATTTTTAAGAAAATCTGTTCTCTTGGGGCGCCTAGGTGGCTCAGTGGGTTAAAGCCTCTGCCTTCGGCTCAGGTCATGATCCTGGGGTCCTGGGATGGAGCCCCGCATCGGGCTCTCTGCTCTGCAGGGAGCCTGCTTCCTCCAGACTCTCTGCCTGCCTCTCTGCCTAGTTGTGATTTCTCTCTGTCAAATAAATAAAATAAAATAAAATCTGTTCTCTTCCCTCAGGTACTTAAATTAGGGAGTGGTAAACAGATTGTTTTAGCTGGGAAAACAACCAAGAAATGAAAAATCAGCTATGGAGACAATGTGAATAAGAAATCAAGGATTAGGGGTTTAGATTTCTATAAGTAATGGAAGTAATTCCAAGTCAGGGACATGAGGAAGAATTTTTTTTTTTTTTTTTTTTTAAGATTTTATTTATTTGACAGAGAGGGAGAGTGCACTAGTAGGGGGAGCAGCAGGCAGACAGAGAAGCAGGCTCCTTGCTGAGTGCAGGGCTGGATCCCTGGACCCTGGGATCAGGACCTGAGCAGAAGGCAGGTGCTTAACAGACTGAGCACAACCGACTGTGCCCCTGAGAAAGAATATTCTAACTGACATAAAATGTATTATTAGGAAGACAGAATCCAAAACATAGCTTAGAATACTTAGGATTTTGAATGAAATTCAGACCGTACAAAGAAAGGCATGTATGTAGGATCAATTAGAATCAACAGGGTTTGGTAATAGATCGTGGAGTTGAGACTTTAAATTTGAGTTTACAGAACTAGAGTAATGAAAGTCCTATGGTTAATACAGAGAAAATCTGAAAAGAGTGGTTTATGGGGGAGGGTTTTTTTGGTAAGTTATTAGTTACATTACTTAGAAGCAGAACCTGCATCTTGTTGCAGAACATAACTAGTTTGTTTCAGTGAATGGCACTTAAGTTCTTCAGTTGTTTCCTTGTTATTAAATTTGTAACCTTACTGAAGTAGAAATCCTCTCTTGAGCCAAGTTTTTTTTCTATCTGTAGTTGGGTTTTTTTTTGTTTTGTTTTTTTTTTTTTTTTTTTTGGCCTTTTTTTCCCCCCTCCATCATAACATGAACCTGGTTGGGAAAGATAGGTCGAATTTGGAACAGCTGCTTATCAGAAGAGAAAGTTTGTAACAAGAAAATCTTAAATCCTTTAAAAAAAGTGGACACACTTGTTTTGCATTTTTTTCTGGTCCGTACACACAGAATAGGTTTTAATATTAGGTCTTAAAAATTTCTAGGTATTTCCTAAATAACTCAACCTTTATGCAAGTTTTCTGAAATCTTTTGTTCATAGTTTTATTTCTTTTTTGTTGTTGTTGTTGTTGTTGTTTGTTTGTTTCATTTTTTAATTTGTTTCTTGGTGGCAGCTATCTAGAGCTGAGATTTTTATTTTAAATGACATCTTTTCTTTTTCTTCCTAGCTCAACATTGTAAAATAAATCCACCAGAATGACACCTTCTCAGGTTACCTTTGAAATAAGAGGAACTCTTTTACCAGGTATTGTAAAGTTTTACTTTAAAACAAAAGTTTAAATGAGTGTTTTCCCCATCTTGATTGTCTTAAATATGCTGTTTGTTATTACAGTAGGCCTCATTTTTAGATGAAACTATCTTTAGGACTTACCTGATTTCAGAAATGTGCTTGGAGTATAATAAGAAAGAAAAACATACTTCCCCAAACAGTAAATGTCTTAGTCTCATATTTTCCAAGAAGGCTGTGAATTTAATTTTGCGCAGGATGAAGACTATGGACTATGATTTTTAAGTACCATGAAAATGAGGGAAATTTTCCTAGTGCAAGAAGTTGGTGAAATATTTGGTTAAGATAACTTTGTTCCCTATTTGTAAATTTTTTGGCTTATTGTATTTTTTTGCTGTCTGCTAACATAGTGTGAAGTAATTTTAGGGTAAATAGCATATCAAAATAGTATCAGGCGTGAGGCATGTATCTCCTTATTTAATATACTCACCAGCTGGCCAGTTCCTCAAATCTGTTACATTATTTCTCTCTTTTGGGCCTTTCTTAAAATTGTTTCCTCTGTCTAGATCTGTGGCCTCCCTTCTTCCCTTTAACTCTGCTTAACTCTAGCCCTGCATTTAGCTAGGTTAGGATTCCTGTGAAATTAAGGGTTCCAGGACTTTTTGTAGTACCTACAGATTTTATGGAATTATTTGAGTAATTTTGTTTATGGATAGATTGTCAGCTCTGTGAAAATGTGACTATTTTGTCATGCTGAGTGCATGCACCTAACACAGTGCCTGACTCAGAGCAGGAGTAAATACGTTTTCAAGGAATAAATAAATGATTAACTCTGTATGTCCAACATCTTTGGTCTAGCAGCCATCAGAGCGGCTGACAGAGTGTATATTTGTCCAAATTCAAATTCTTAGCCAAGATGATCTGGTAGAGAGCTCTCATTTCTGGGCAGGATTCTGCAGATTGAAAATTGCTAGTCAGCTGATAAGTTGGCTCACTGGGGTCAAGAGCTCACCTCTAGTCCAGTGTGTAGCCTTCTCTGTGGAGAGAAGACTGCAGAGCTGTATCATACCCTTTCAGGGAATTGTGCATAGACAACTTAAGGTAGAAGGAGCTGGCCATGTCAGGCATACGGACCAACCACAAAATTAGCCCTAGAAGGGTGAGCTTGGCGAGTCTTACTCTCAAGGACTAGAGGGAAGATAGTGGTGGACATGAATATAAGAGAGGACTGTGTGCACAACAGTGTGTTTGACTCTGGGAATGAATATTTGTATATAGCAACAGCCTTTATCTTTCTTTTTAATCAGAGAAGGTAGTGATAAGCTAATTACAAAACAAAATCTGGTTGCTCTAAAGGATTGGTGAATATTTTGACATGAAATCTCTATATATAACCACTCCATTCTTGACAAACATGTATTTAGAACCCCCCCAAACTCCTCAGTGATTATTGCATTTGAAATTTCAGTTAAATTTTAGATAGTCCAACCTTAAAAAATGCTCATGAGGGTGGTTAAGGCCAACTTACAATTCTGGCTTTACTAGAGTAGTGCCTGAAAGCCACTTGGAATGTGGAGGAGTTTGTCTTGAACTTTGTTCACTTGGCATCACTTCATTATCTTTTTCTCCATGAATTTTAATTATAGTAATTCAGAATATATTGCTGTGTAAGTCAAAGACTTCTCCATACTTCTCTCCAAGAATTTTTTTTTTTTTTTTAAGATTTATTCATTTTAGAGAGAGCGTGTGCAAGCTGGGGTGGGGGTGCGGGGGACAGGGTGAGAGAGAACCTCAAGGAGACTCCCTGCTCAGTGTGGAACCCAACACAGGGCTCAATCCCATGACCCAAATATGAACCTAGCCAAAGCTAAGAGTCAGACGCTCAACTGACTAAACCACCCAGGCACCTTGTAGACTTTTGCTGAATGCATATAATTCAGCAAATACAGGTGACAGTTGTATTTTGGTTTGTCTATTGATGAGAAGCGTTCAGATAAACAATAGTCATTATTTTAGTAAGGAGAACTAGATTTTTCACTAAGTCTTTGGAAGAAGTTTTGTTGTTAGTCCCATTGATAATTTTCTTAATCTTTAGTTTGTTTTAATAGCCACTGTTTGAGTTCCTGGAAAATATTGGTTACTATTTCTCTAGAATACTTCTTTGCATTTAGTGTGTGCCTTTTTTTTTTTTTTTTTAAGATTTTATTTATTTATTTGGCAGAGATCACAAGTAGGCAGAGAGGCAGGCAGAGAGAGAGGAGGAAGCAGGCTCCCTGCCAAGCAGAGAGCCCGATGCGGGGCTCGATCCCAGGACCCCGGAATCACAACCTGAGCCGAAGGCAGAGGCTTTAACCCACTGAGACACCCAGGCACCCCTAGTGTGTGCCTTTTAAAATCAGAAGCTGCCTTGAAGGCAGGAATTGTGGCATGATCACTTTGTCTTCTTGGTGCTTGTTATTAGCTCACTTAAGTGGTTGAACAAATGAAGTAAGTTCATCCCTATCCATCCCTCCTTTTCTTTGGTTTTGGTTCTGTAGAGTTAGGTCAAGTTAAGAAGGCAGGTATTGGTGTGGTACCTAGGTCTGACACATGTCTCAGTGAGGCTCCGCCGCCTCTGCTGGTGGGGGCTCTGCATCTAGGTGAACTAGTGCAACTGACTGCTCTTTTCTGGCTTCCTAAAACTACAGTCTGAAACTTCCTTACTTAGCCCACTATAACTGGTTATTCTCTTTCTTTAGGAGAAGTTTATGCCATATGTGGGAGCTGTGATGCTTTGGGAAACTGGAGTCCTCAGAATGCTGTGGCTCTTCTTCCAGAAAATGAGACAGGTGAAAGGTAAGAAGGGTAATAACAGGTTACAGAATGATTGTGATACCCAGATTAGAAACTTGGAGGGTTTCTAAGATACCTTCATGTAGTTTTTCTCTTTTAATTTTTATGATAGTTCTTGCATGTGCATAGAGTGAAGTAGTTGTACAAAGTCGATTGTTTAAAAAAAAAAAAAGTTTCTCTGTTTCTTAATTTCCCACTTCAACCATTTTCAACTTTTGGCTGGTTCTTTTGGTAGTTACCACTATATTTCTAAATAACAGGCTTATATTGCTATTTTTTATTTTTTTAAGCTTTTTTAAGGTATTATCTTTTAGCTTTCAATATATATTTATATATATGGATACATCTATCTATGTATATATATTTATTTTTTAAATTTTATTTATTTGAGAGAGAGATCAAGAGAGAGAGAGCACACCAGCGGTGGTGGGGGAGAGGCAAAGGGAGAAGGAGGAGCAGACTCCCTGCTGAGCAGGGACCCTGACACAGGGCTAGATCCCAGGATCCCGAGATCATGAACTGAGCTGAAGGCAGACACTCTACCAACTGAACCACCCAGGTGCCTCTCGGCACATATTCTTTTTTTTATTTTTTTAAGATTTTATTTATTTGAGAAAGCAGGGGGAAGGGTAGTGGGAAAGGGAGAAGCAGGCTCCCCGCCTATCAGGGAGCCCGATGTGGTGCTCTATCCCAGGGATTATGACCTGAGCCGAAAGCAGTTGCTTAACTGCCTGAGCCCCTCTCCATACATATTCTTGATAAAAGATCAGATTTTTTTCTTTAGCTTATAAAATATTTTTCTAGAACAGAGTGTGAAACAGGTATTTTAGCTAATATACTGAAATGAGTTTGCAACTGACATTAAATAGAATGCTAAAGTTAGTATGGGTGTATTGGTGCATTGCACTGTTGAAAGAAGGGCCTGGGTGCAGGTTTCAGTTCCACAGTTAACTGCAGTCTTGGGCAGATCTGATTTCTCTAGGCCTGGGTTACCTCATCTGCATGTTAGGACAAAATCAGTGAATATTAGAGATATTTGGGGCATTATGGGTTGTCAAGATATATATGTGGGAGGTAAGGAGAGAGGAGATCTTAAACAGTATACAAATACATGCAGTGCCCCTAGGGAGAAACACCAGATTACATATTATTAAGCTCAACTTGTTTTCCATGTAGAGCATGGCTACTGAAAATGTGGCCTGTGGGCCAGTGCTAGGGAAAAAAAAAGAAAAAAAAACTTTAGTTTTTCTAATAATCAGTGCATTATATGAGAAATAGATAAATTAAGAGCAAGCATTTAGAAATGTTTATAGCACTTTGAGATTGTTAGGGCATTCATGTATGTCACCGTGGACTCATCTCTTGTTGTGCTGGATACATAGATCAGAAGTGTTGGTTACAGGACAGACAAGCAAACAAAAACTGGTCCTTTGCAGCAGATAGCTTGAGGAGCACTGATGACAGAGCAAAAGAAAATAACAAATACAGTACCATAACGCAAATTAAGGAAAAGGAAAATAGGGACACCTGGGTGGCTCAGTCAGTTAAGCATCTGCCTTTGGCTCAAGTACCTCATTGGGTTAAGCAGGGAGCCCGCTTCTCCCTCTGCCTGCTGCTCTCCCTGTTTGTGCTTTCTCTCTCTCACACAATATAAATAAAATCTTAAAAAAAAAAAAGTCTATAGAACATCCTTTTTCTACTTGTCATTATTGTGACATATTTTCTCAACCAGTTCGCAGCTGTTTTTATAAGTGAAGTTGATAATACTGGAATCACAGAGGAATTAAATGTTTATTCCCTTTAAGTGGCTATTTTTTCCTCCATTTTCAGTTCAGCCACTGCTGTCTGAAGTAAAACCTTATGCCTTTTTGAACTTGTTCCTAAAACACACCTTGCTCTGAATGTTTGAGCTGCACTATCACCTGTCTTAAGTCCATTTCAGCTAGCCTGATCAAAGTTATGTGAACAGATGAGATAACACTTAACTACATAACTTGAAGGGACCAGCCACTTTACCTTGCTGACATGCACTGAAATGTAATTGATTCATTTATGGCAGATAAACAGTGTTTCACATGGAGAAAGGAAGTAGGTGATACAAGAGGATACAAAAAACATTTGCCTTGGACACCATTCTTGTGTTTTAGAATTGTGTCTATTTGGATTTCAGTGTCTTGTGCATCTAAGCCCTTTGTACAGTGCTCTTTTTCACAGTCTCTTAAGCTTCTCCTTACCTGTAGGCTTATAGTGACAAGAGCTCTGTTAGGATTTTTTTTTTTTTTTCAACTTACAAATAATTTGAAAGTCGTGGTATTGTTTCCTAGTAATGCAGAAAATGTGGGTCGCTTGTGGTATTATTTGCTCTTGTAGATTTTATGGTATTTTGGGGGAGGATATGAGGGCATTCAAAATCAAGCAGGTGCACTAAGCCTTATTGCCCCTCTTTCCTGACTTTTCTTGAATTTCATCAGATTATATTCATTTTTGATGTCACTGAACAGTTCCGGTTCATTTTTAACTTTGCAGCATTTACTTAGGAAAGTAGAATAAAAAACTCATTGCTTTGCTCTCTGCATCTCTTTTCATTTAGTGGTTCTTAACCAGGGGCTCACTTAGACTCACTTGTGAGGGATTTAAAAAATACATGTCTAGATCCTACCCCTGGGGAATGAGGAATAGTGCATGAGAGAGGGACCCCATACATTTTCAGACCTTCCTGCTAATTCTGCTGTTCACATCTGAGGCTGGCTTCACATTATCTGGCTGACCGATTTATGAATGAAATAGTACTAGAAATTTGCCATTTTTTTGTAGCAGAGATGGGAAATAATTTCACCTCAGAGTTGGTAGAGTATTCCTGGAAAGCTGTGTTGAAAAGGACTCTGAGGCTTATCAGAGAAAAGTAGTACGGGCGCCTGTGCTGAGCATTTGCTGGTCTTACTTGATAGCAGTGGCCCTCAACCAGCCTTCTGTCTTCACCTATCTTGTGCAAACTCCACATGACCAGGCTCCACCCAGACCTCTGGAATCAGAGTTTCCCAGGGTGGAACCAGGGCATATGTATTTTATTACTACTAGATTAATCTAATTGTTGACCAGGGGTGACAGGTGGTTGTGGGTATTTTGTTGGGAACCCAGGATTGAGTCCGAGTGAGAATAATGCCCTAAAGCCTGCCTTGGCAGAGCCAGGTGGGAAACAGTGCTAGCCATCTGGTATCGTGGAAGAACATTTGGAGCTGATGTTTATTCACTAAACTATTCATGCTGAATTAATGTTTGGGTAATGGTCTATGACAGCAGCTCTCAAACTTAAGTGTTCATCATCAGAGTCACCTGGAGGCTTGTTAAATTATGGATTGCTGGACTCTCCCCCCAGAGTTTCTATAGTAGGTCTAGGTGTGGCCTGAAAATTTGGATTTCTAACAGTCTCCAGGGTGATATTCATGGTCCTTGGATTATACTTTGGATGCCACTGGTGTGTGATTGGAAGGTAATAAAAATCAGTTATAATCATGAGTTGTAGTGACTGCTTTCATAGTTGAGTCAAAGCTTTAGAATAGCAGTAGACTATGTTAGCGTAGCATAGTTCAGAGGAAGACATTGAGTTGAAACAAGTAAGATATAGATCCCAATTGTTTGGCCAGGGGATTAGCCAGAAGCTGGGGAAGAAATCAGGACAAGGGAGTGAGGCAAGTATAACTCACTTGCCTCAGCCCCAAAGCCTCTTAGCAGCCCTGTAACACCTCTAACTAAGTGGAAAGTCAGAAAAGATTCTGACTCTCGCCTCCACCTTTGTGTTACTTTTTCTGTTTAAAATACTTCTTGTCTCTGTATGACTGGTTCCTTCTCATTACAAAGGACTCCTCTCAGACTGTTCTTCCTCATTGAGGCCTCTCCTCCAAAACTTCTGTCATGTCAGAAAGGTCAAATAGCCCTTTCTATGTATGTTTGGTTATTTGTCTCCCTTCACCAGAAAGTAATCTGCTTGAAGATAGGGCTCTTTCTGCTTTATTCTTCACTGTGTTCCCAGTGCCTGATGCAGGGTCGCCCTGGAGTATAATTCTGTGTAGGAATAAACAAGTGGTATTGGTCACAGACCTTGCTGGAGGGGTTTTATGCATTATGAAGTCTATGCATTGTAGTTTGATATTAATGCTTCTGCTTTTTCCTCACAGCATGTTATGGAAAGCAACCATTGTACTCACTAGAGGAGTATCAGTTCAGTATCGCTACTTCAAAGGGTGCTTTCTAGAACCAAAGGTATGTTTTCTTTATCTCGTTTCCAGTTTCTTTAACAAACTTACTTCTTTCAAAAGCAACTAATTTAAGTTTGGAAACATTGAAAGTAATGCGAGTTTATTTTGATCAAATAAGGGAAACCGAACTCTAGATTAATGATATTGTAGTGCTAAAAAGCAAGCAAGTAGCCACTTCAGAGGCAGACGATGTCTGCAGTGGAATTTTTAAAAGACTAATAGTAAGTATATTCTGGTATTCTTGTTATGAAATTGGTTTTAATGATAAACGAGTGTTCTCAGTAGCTGTGCTTTTTCTCTAACTTTTGTAAAGTAACCAGTTAAAAGGGTTTTCTTTTTGTTTCATTTTTTAATTCTTATGTGGTATAAATACATTTGAAGGAGTATATAGCCAGCTTTAAGTGAGTAATTATTTTTAAAAATTATTTCATAAAAGCCATCTCTTAGTGGCTGCGTTTGTTTTAACTCCTATCAGAACTGAAGTAATTCCTCTTAGATTTTTTTTTCAACCATGGTGTTGATAGAGTAGGATCTTTTCTGAAGGCCTTCGGAGTATCTGTTTAATCTGCTTGCTCACAATGATTTATTATTTTGGGATTGTTTTCATATTTAGAAAAGAAGAAAAGGTTGATTCTTTCCCTCTTATTTTAAAGATGCTTATTTCCTGAAAGGATTCTTTTCCTTCAGATTTTTATCTTTGAGTACACTTAGGCTGCATGTGAGCAGGGGTTTAGGCAGGCGTCTAGGAAGCAAAACGTGGATTAAACCGTTCTAAAATTTTTATTTCCCTTTGGGATCATTGAATACTTATTACATGTGAAAAATGCAAGCAGCCACTGTTACCTCATTCTCTTAGCCACCATTATAGAAAAGAAAAAACTGACAAAGCCACTTCAGCTGTCTTTTGCACCTATTACGTTTCTTATTCCAACAATATATTGTAAATACTCAGTAATTAAGATTACATTATGGTTGATCGTTGTGTTGGCTTATCTTGACAATAGTCTCATTTTAATGACTTAACATCATTTATCTGGCTTAAGGGTTGTGCATTTTGGCAGAGTTTTTCAGTTTAAATTGAACAGTTGTGCAGTGATAAGTAGGTCATAGCACTCATGCCATTGAAAGTTAATTTGAGGATCCTGGTATGTGAAATTTGTAATACGTGAAGTCAACTAAATTTTACTTAAAGGGGCATTTGGACAAGACAAATCATAATGAATCCTTTGGGCATAGTTTTCTAAAGTAAGACTATTGTCAACATAGATCAAATTAAGCCAACCTACAGTATTTTCCCTCTTTATTGAAGTGTAACCAAAAGCAGCAAATCAGTCCAAACTGCCTTCTGAAAAAATTGGCAAAAAGTCTGCTTACAGTAAAAAACAAGTTTTTCCCCTTGTAATACTTGCAAAAGTTTACAGTATGTGTTGGTGAGTGTGTTTCTTTAAGTAGGTGCTCTGTATCGTGTACACATGTACCGTGTGATGCAGGGGCTGCCATGGTAAGTATGTTTTTCATGGACTAGAGTAAATAGCTACATAAAATCCCATGCATATAGCTAGAGGTTTTTTTTCCACATGCCAGCTTAAAGTGACACTTCTTTTCTTTTAAAAGTTGGTGGCGCTCTTTAAATGACACTTAATTTTAACTAGAAATAATTATGAAACTTTGTCTCATTTGTGCATTGTCAAATGATAAAACTAATGTGCAAAGAATCTTAAATTGTAAAATGAAATTATTGGAATATATATTTTATAAAAATAAAGAATGATAGGAAAGCAAAGTAATTATGAAACAGTGAAAAGCTGAAATGAGTATTAAGATTAATTTTGCTGAGGTAGTCTACCCAAGCATTTGTAGAGCCTAAGCTAAAAATCTTGTGGTCTTGTCAATTGACCTTCATATTTCAGTTTTTTTACCTATAAAATGAAGGGCTTGGACCATAGATTTCTTAGGTCCCTTCCATTGTGAAAATTTTATTGCAAATAAATAAAATTTTACCATTAGTATTTTCTCCTCCTTTTTTGCTCTTTCTGGCATATTCTTTTTAGTTTATAAGAGTCCCTTTTCTCAACTTTTTATAACTAACTGTTGACTTCTACTCTGTAGAATTAGAATGAGGTGTTAATATGTTGATTTTTAAATAATTTTACAGGTGACAAATCAAATACTATCTTGAACATAGCAAACAAAGGTTGTAGATATTCTTGGAATGAAAACACAGGTGGGAGCTGCAGATGGTCCATTAATTTCACATCTTCACCAGAGATAATTTTTCAGTGTGAACATCAATTAAAACATTTTTTTTTAGTCCATGTCCATCCTTCTATACTTGTGGGCAGGATTAGTGATATAACCTGATGAAATGTTAGCCAATTTATAATAATGTTGTCTGTGATTTTTTCCCTTCATTTCAATGGAAATAGCTCTTTATTTTTTAGTAACTTCTGTTTCTAATTTTTATAGGTGTTCACATTCACTCATAATTAGATTTGTTATAAACCCCTATTTTGTTCTTAATCTCCCTTGATTTTTGTTTAAATCCTTTAACAAAAGAATCAGTCATCTGTGATAGGCAGATCATTGTTTATTTATAGAATAGCCCAGGTATCTTATTTTGTTGAGTGGTTTTCTTAATAAAATTCTTCCGGATGCTAAATACCTTCAGCTGTTAACCTCAGACTTGAACCATCTCACAGATCTCTGTCTGCCTAGCTTTCTTCACCTCACACTTTAGTTACCCATAAGTGACTATTTTTCTTATTAGTCTTACTCAAAATCGTTATTTTTAAATGACTGTTGCTCTGGCCTTGCCATCATAAATGCAAATTCCTCAGAGCCCCTTTTACATGCCCCACCCCCCTTTTTTCAAAATGTGGAAAGACAACAGTAAAATTTTAGAAGTTTTATTTTTCATGATACTTGAAAGCAGTGATACAACTTGACTAGTTGATGATTTTGCTACATGTTTTGTTCAAAACAAAACAGCCCAAAAACCTCAGTTTACATGTTATTTCTCTCAGGGCTTGATGTAGCTAGCTCAGTGATGTTGATCAGTGCTTAAGAAAGCAGTCATTATGCTTTTCTTTCTTTGCAGAAATAGATTATTTTGTATTTTTCTTAATATGCTTAATAGTATTGATAGAGTTGTTTCACAGTTTAACATACATTTTAGCAATCAACTGATTTAATATATGTTAAATTGTGAAACAACTTTATCAATATTATTAATGGAATAATGTCTTGGACTGATGATGTTACTTTTTTCTTCAAAGATCCACCTTGCACTTGACTCCAAAGTGCTTAAAATTATGGCAGCAGCCTTTTACGGAATGAAACTGTTCTTTTTTTCTAAGATCTTGAAGAATGAGTTTATTACATTTTAGCTTGTTAAAAAGGATTGCAGGTTTTGGAGTCATTACTGAGATTTTAAATTTCCCAGTGCTCAGGGCTTAAATATTTTTTAAGAAGTTCAGTAAGCTAAAATTTAAGATTACCTTCTAAAGTTTGACCAAGTAGTACCATTTTGAAAGATAACTGTATTTTAAAACTTGGTTAATTTTTTTTTTTTTTTAATTTTAACACTTTGTTGTACCAACAAACATGATTTGTAGTGTGAATGCTTATATACCCAATTAGAAGTCATCTGTTGAATCAGCTCTTTGGATTGCTCCTTGAATGCCCCATTCAGTTCAAGCCTAGGTGGTTTTATGCTGTGAGTGGGTTTGCTACTAAAGCAGATGAGGGTAGAGTTATTAAAATACTATTAAAATATATTTTCTACCAAATATTTTATCCACAGGGCTATTCTGACATTAGATGTAGATATTGTAGTCAACACTTTGTAAAGTTCCCCTGACACTGAATTGATACAAAAACAAAAACAAACTCTCCTTTCTTCTGTCCACTTCTTATCCTTGCTGGTATTTAATACTATGTTCCTGGCACCTTTTAAAGGCACCTTTGTTTAGTAACTTCTGTAAGAATGTAGAGTTGCTATACCATCTTTGTAGCAAAGAGGATTATTTTTTGGGGAAGGGGGATGTGCAGGGGACATGAGAGGAATGGGGGAATACTATAGGTTAGATCTTTCTGGATATTCTCTATTGCTAAGAAACATTGTTCCTTTTTTAACATATATATTTGTATCTTTTGAGGATCAGAAACTTTGATGTTTAAGAAATTCAAAAAAATGTGACAGGAAAGTCATGATAAAAAACATCTAACAGATATAGGAATGAAACTATCTCCATGTTTTAGTGTAAAGGAAATGAAATTCACTATATTTAAGATGAGCAGTTTCACAGTAAAAAAAAATTTTAAAAACATCTGCCCAGTTTACCAACTTATAAGTTGAACCCTTAAAACAAGGAGGTATTCAGCAAGAGAAAATGAGGTTTGATGATTATCCCGTTTGCTTTATGATTTGAATGAATAGCAAATGCTATTTGAGTTTTCAAAGTTCAGAAGTTTGCAAGTTTTAAAAAGAATTTCAAGCTCTGGTTATTTTTAAGTAGAATATCTCTTGCATTTAATTACTTAATGTGCTTAATTTGTCTCATACTCCATTATCATTTAGCACATTATTATTAATACTGAAAGCTATAAAATGATATAGAAGAGTATTTAATACCATCTAAAGGTATACACAGTGTATAGAGAGCTTATATGTTCTGTGCTTTTTAAGAGTATGTAATATATGTCTAGGAAAGGGGTTGAAGATTTATGTATGAAAATATCAGTAGTGATTGTCCCTAAGTGGTGTGATAATGAATGACTTTTATGTTTTCTTTTTGCTTCTTTGTATTTTATTAAATGTCTTCTGAAGATGTGAAGAGAAATATAAAATGCCTTGTAATGTTACAGTTTGAAATTTTGCTTCTAAAATATGTATTTAATGGTTTTATTTTGGCACATAAGTTCAGTTGATTTTTTTTTTATAATTAAAATTAGGAAGCATTTAGTTAGTAGTTCGATCCTTTAGGTATACACAGGGAATCTGAGTCGATAGTTCATTTTCAATTTTAAATCGCTGTAGATGTTAATACATAAAGCTTTATTTTCCCTTTTAGTAAGAGAATTTGATAACAGAAGACAGTATTAGTTTTCACCCTGTATGAGTTTATAAACTGTAGGGCATAAAGAGAAAAACTAGATGGTAGTTCCTTTTTGTCAGACTTATTCTTCGAATTTACTCATGCACATGTACTTTTAGGGTTTTCCTGTACTCTTTAGAAACAATGGTTACTATAATACAAGAAATCTGATGTTCTTCCTGTTATTTACTTACTATAATAAAGAACCTTGTTATGCCCTCTAGTTCGTTGTGATCACTGATCTTGAAGTACTTGTACCTACTGTTCCTACTATCATATAGAGTATAGGCTTTTCCCAAACACTTGGAGAGTTACTTGAGATAACTTTATTCAGTAATACCTCATTGACCACTGACAACCAGGCATAAAGTATATTTGGTGTTAACTTTAATTTATGGGAATTTACCAGCTAATTAGGAGTACTGTAGGCAGATTTAAGAAAGGGTTTAAGATGGTTTTATGTGCCAGTTTCATCTCTTTTTTCTTGTTTACTGCCTCACCGTCCTTTTCTTCCAGCACTCATGTTTTGTGACCTGGTACATCCTGATTTTTGGCATATAGTATTGATAAATAACAAGATGAATCTTTTGGTTTCATATTTAGTATAAGATGTAGGCCACAAACATCTAATGGAGTCATGGGTAGAAAATAAGATATAAGAAATTATTGCAGACGTTTAACTTTTAAATTGCAGACTATCGGTGGTCCATGCCAAGTCATAGTTCACAAGTGGGAGACTCATCTACAACCACGATCAATAACCCCTTTAGGTATGGGCATTAACTGCATCTGTTTGAGGCATATGCATAAAGTTACTAATATGCTGCACAATGGCTTAGTGGGATTTAATAAATTTTTATTCTAAAGTTTAAGGTCAATGCATTGTCAGTACTGCAAATTTTACTTAGCATATCATGGATCTTTTAAAACTAAATAGTTCTTAATTGCCTTTCTTTATAAACTTTGTTAGAAATGCTTGCCAGGTTATTTTTATTTGGGGGGATTTGATTAATTTATTGTGGAATATTTATTTTCATTTGGAATATTTAACAAAGTTTGTAAAATAACATTTTTCTTGACTGAGCATCCACGGCTTTATTTGATTACTTGCTCAGAGAGCTTAGAGAACATTTGAGGAAAGAGTTAATCCAAAACAAAAATTCTTAAATTTTTAACTTTGAATAGCGGGAGCAGTAGAATAAGTTATCCTATTTATTCTGTGTTGTGTTTTTTTTTTTAAACTAGTAAATACTTGAATAAACTTGTATGAATGCATTTAGATTTCTTGGTTGTAGCAGACATATTTTCCTCCTGATTTACTTAAATACCTGCTGGCTATGTTAAAATTGATACTCAGATAGTTGATTTTATTTTGTTCTTGTTTTTTTTCCCCCCAAAACATCATTCCGTTTTCTTGTGCCAAAAAAATGGCATCTCTCTTCATACAAGTATTTTTGAATTTCCTTTTCCTTACTGAGATTAAAATTTGAAGTTCATATCATATGCATAAATTACCCACTTGGAGTCATCTGTAAATTCACTTGTGCTGAGAACTGTATCTTTTATTTTCTAGAGGAAATTAGAATTTAAAGATAATAATGGCTTGCTAGTAGCTATCTTAGATTAGAAAGTAGTGAGAGATCCTGCTTTACCCTGTGGCAAGGACATGTCTTGTTTAAACAGATACTTCATTCCATCCTCTTTATTGGATTTTCTTTTATGTTTTAATACATTTTTGATAGTATATTTAAAGTTCTCATGAATAGCATACTTTAGAATTATAATAGTCCCATACTGAGGTTGGAAATTATTAGGTATTAAACATTTAAAAATAATATGCATTTGGAAGCATCTTGCAGTTAAATATATTTCCTTATTGTAAGAAATGGGATGTTTGTTTCTGGTCTTTTAAGAATTAATTTTATACTTTTGGAAAGCATAATCTCTAAAGAGCTGCGTGAAATCTACCAAGAATCTTTATTGGGAACTATCACAGCTATTTTGACAAATATTTCAGACTTAACGTTTAAAGTTAAACTGGGAAAGGAAGTAGCAGGGAAGATCATTAGTGTTTTACTGAGGGTGGGGCTTACCCGCTTTTCTTATTTAGCTGAAATTTCTGTTAGAAAGGAATGTGCTAGCACTTATTCTTTTGGTAGTTCCTCACAGCTCTGTATATGCAGGTAAGTTTGTGCTGTTTGTGAAGCTTGTAGCTGGCTCTAGAGAATAGTTGGGATTCGAGGAGAGTTACGTTTTAGATAAGTTCAGAATATGCACTACATAAGAATAAGCATTTTAATTGTGCCAAGACCTTTGGTTTAAAAAATCACCCAGGAGATACTGTTGTCCAGCAGCCTGTCTTATAAATTGGTGGGTGTAGAGGTTTGTCCCAGTGCCTCTAGAGGGCCTCTCTGCGGAGTTTTCTTTCCCTTCCTTGTAACACCACGAATCATCACCAAGTTTGTAAGAACTTCTACTCTTTGATTACCTCCTTAAAAGGGAATTCTTTATTGAGGGCTACAATAAATATGCTTATTCATTTTGGGCTGCTTTTAAATTTTAGATTTCATATTTTAAAAATCCTTAAGGTGGGTAATTTCTCGGTTGTGCATTCTGTATACATCATGAATTTTAACTAGGTTTTTTTTTTATTTTCCTTCAATTCTAGAAACTGAAATTATTATTGACGATGGACAATTTGGAATCCACAGTAAGTGAGACTGAGTTTTGACAGTCTTTACTGATACCACTGAGATGTTACCTTACTTTTTGTTAGAAACAGCACAGGGAAATGTGATAGTATGATACTGAAAATAGAGACTAGATCCAAGAAACCAACCACATTGTGTTAAATAATAGTTTCCAGTGTAATTCTTAAGCTTTAAAATTTTATCCTTTTGGTTTTTGACTGGTGACTTAGATGTATGAATTACTATACTTAATTTAAGAGTATTATACTTAACTGTTAATAGATCATCCCCTTTTAACCCCTGTGTTTGGTATTAATGTTTCCAAGCATTCTAGACTCTAAAGCGAGGTTTGTGCAGTTTGTGTGTATATGCACTTACAGTAAAATCCAGATTAAACAAAATGTTCCAGTAATTCTCCTGAGACTTTAAAAATTAATTTATAGTGGAGTAGATAATCCTTTTACTTCTGAATATGTTGAAAATGTCATGCATTCATATATTTTTGTGCTTCACTAAATACATTATCCTGAGGGTTCAAGTTGTCTTTGGTGACTGGGATTCTCACAGTAGAATAGTCTTACAATGCTAAACTGCATTTTTGTTTTAGATCCTAAACTGGTCAAAGATACAGAGGGGGTGAGCAAAAGGTGTACTTGCACTAACTGTGAACCAGAGATAAATTGCTGATACTAGGCGCCTATGTTTATACACTTGAGAAATGTACACATGCTTTGGCAGTGTTTGGATAGAAATTTTACTTCTTTTCCTTAATTTTATTTGGGATAACTTATATTACATTGTAAGGTAGTCTAAAATACTTGCATAGCTTTAGTTTTAATGTTTTAGAGTCTTGTTCTCTTTATTTACAAAAGATATTTATGCTACATGTTTTAGAGAGCTTGCTGGATGGAGAAGTAGCTTTCTCATGTCCCTAACTATAAGGCAGGACATGTCCCTCTACTCTATGTTAATATCTCTGCATAGTTACAAATGCAGGCATTTCTTTGCTCTTTTGTAGTTGTTCTCTTAAACTCAGCTTAATTTAGCTGTCAGGATAGAAGACTGTCTTTCCAAATTTATCCATTTCTGAGAACAGTTTAAAATTAAGAGAGGATAGTGGTTTCTCTTTACTTTTAAAATTTAGTAATTATTGAACCTAAGTTATATCTAAAGAGAAAAAGTTCTTTTTTTTTTTTTAAAGTCTTGTTGATAAAAAACTTAGGTCCAAATGGCTGACAGCTCTCTGGTATTTATAAAAATTTTATGACATATGTTAGCAGGAAACTTCAAGTTAAATAATACTAATACAGTGTTATCACAATCCTGCCATTTATTTATGTCTGAATTTCTAAATGTAAGAATACAGAATTGACTCACAGGTTTGGTTTTAACCTTCTGTCTCAAGCTCCAGCTTTAGTGATAGAACTTGTTCCAGCTGAGTAGCTCATGTGAGCCTTTGGAAGTGTGATAGTGGTCCTCAGTGAAACACTACTAGGTTAGAACCAGTGAGGAACGTGGTATTCTCTCAGAAATAGATGCTGTTACCTCGATAATGGATTCAGTAAGAAATTTTAATTTACTTAAGTGGTTAAATATGGCTAATTGTTAACATTTAACTTTTTTCCCCTGACTTCATACAAAAGTTTTTGAGGAATAAATTTAAAACTACATGTGTGTTTGCTTTGGAGAGAAGTTCCAGTGATATATAAACTGAGTGTATGCAAATGTGAACATGAACTAGAATTGTCAAAGGTGTGTTGTACTTACCAGATTGTTTCAAAAAGTGTGTATAATAATTACTGTTCTTCATATTTACTCTGCCAGATGGTGTTGAAACTCTGGATTCTGGATGGCTGACATGTCAGACTGAAATACGATTACGTTTGCATTATTCTGAAAAACCTCCTGTCTCAATAACAAAGAAAAAATTAAAAAAATCTAGATTTAGGTATGACCATGTGTATTTGTTACTTAACCTGTTCATTTTTATTAATGCTGTCGATTTCTGACCCATTTGCTTTTAGCCTTTAAGTGTATAAACTAAGAACATAGCACACATATAGATAAGGTTACATTTTCTTATTGAAGGGTCTTGTGAGAGTGAACTGCTTCCCTGACTCAGATTGTTCCAGTTAAACATACTTCTTAATTGCTAAATTTGAAAGCAGAAAATTTTTTCTATCTAGGTAAGTGATTTCCAGATGTATATATCTTTGTGGTTTCTACCATGCAGAATTTTTATTTTTAAGGATTTTGTGTGTTTATTTATTAGAGAGAGAAAGAAAGCATGAATGCAAGCTGGGGGAGCAGAGGGAGAGGGGCAAGCTGGCTCTGTGCAGAGATCCCATGATCCTGAGATCATGACCTTAGCTGAAACTAGGAGTTGGACACTTAACCAACTGAGCCACCTAGGTGCCCCCATTTAAAATTTCTTAGTGTAGCAATATTTTGTTTTAAAATTGATATGACAGAAATGAATTTGTGCTAAATGAGGGGATAATGGTGTAAACAGAGAAAAATGACTATTGGGAATATCCTTCAGTGATCTAAAGTGTTCCTGTGGCTTGAAAATGAAAATTTTGTCATGAAGAAAGGTAACAGTGATCATGGCAGTTCCAGATTAGTTTCTTCCTAATTCTGTATTAGGAATATATTTCAAGCTTTGTGTAAATAACTACATATGGGTAACTTGATTTTTCTGTAATGTCCGTCATATATACCTTTAAGTGAGCTGGCATCTCAGTGACCCAGGCAGCCCTATCATTTGAGTTTTTATAACTTAGGGACTGAGAGTTGTAAGTTTTGGTATGTAATGAATCCTTTTCTGACAAAACGTCAGGGTTGGGTTGAAAGGGCCATTTTCAGCAACTGAAATAATGAATAATACAATACTTAGTGTCTTTATAATAAGACTAAAAGATACTGTAGGTAATAACCCATAAGTGTTTTGTAATAACCTGTAAGTGTTTTGTAATAACTGCTTAAATACTGTAGTACTTACTTCAGTCATAAAATTAAAAAGGGACAGAGTGGGTAGCATTTCGAAGTCCTTTGCATTAGCTGTTCTGAGAAGTGAAAGGTTTTGCGTGTATCTTATCTTTGTTCATAGTGTTTCTAGGCCTTTTTCATACATAATTGAATCCTTTTTTCTTTTAAACTTTATTTATTTAGGTTTTTTTTTTTTTTGCCGGAGAGCGCCAATGTACCTGCATGAGACCCACCCTGACCCCCCACCTAGGGTGGAGGGGCAGACTGGGTGGCTCAGTCAGTTAAGCCTCTTGAGGTTGGCTCCTGTATTGATCTCACTTGGTGGTGAGATTTGGCTCTGTGCTTGGGGTGGAGTGTTTAACATAATTGAATCTTTTATTTACATGGGAGAAGAAACAAATCGTGTTACAACTATAAAGGGTCTTCTTAAAATAAGAATAAAACCTTGAGGGGTGCCTGGGTGGCTCAGATGGTTGAGCATCTGTCTTTAGCTTAGGTTGTGATCCCAGGGTCCTGGGATGAGCCCTGCATCATCTGGCTCCCTGCACAGTGCGGAGCCTGCTTCTCCCTCTCCCTCTGCCATTTCTACTGCTTGTGCTCTCTCGCTGTGTCAAATAAATAAAATCTTTAAAAAAAAAAAAGAGTAAGACCTTGAAATAACTGTAGAAGATAAACCAGATGGTTGGTTGGGCTTATGAGGATTTTTTTCTTTCCTTGACTTTAGTTAGGAAATTAATAGATAATTAATGATTGGGGTTCTGCTTGCAGATTTCTGATTGCAAATGCATACTGAGTCCTATACCATTCTTATTTATATAGAAGTTATTTTGAGTGTTAGTATATATTATTGTGTTAATCAGGCTTAAATTGGAATATTTTTGTATAACCAAACTTCGGTGGGCTCTACAAATTAAATAACTGATTGCTATTGAAATAATTGTGTGTGGAGTACCTGGCTGGCTCAGTCTGAAGAGTATGTGACTCTTGATCTCAGGGTCGTGAATATGAGCCCCATGTTGGATGGAGAGATTACTTAAAAAAAAGTGGTAAACTTTATTAAAATTTGTGTATAACTAGAAATTTGTGTTCTGACCACCTTTTCCTCCCAAACTCGTATTTAATGATAAACTAAACCTTTATGAGGTAGGAAATAAATTGGTCTGCAAGAATATCAGGACTTTAAAAACTTAGCAACAGCTTATGCATTTTAAATAAAATGCTAGACATGCTGTTCTTTCTCATTATCAGCAGGTTTTAAAAAAATTTTTTTTCATTACCACCAAGTTTTAAATAAGCTTCTCATTCAGTTTACTTTCTCCATAAGTGGAAAGAGAGTATAACCATTACAGAGCTTTTGAAGAAAACATTTAATATAAATGACTGAAATTTTTTCATAAATCCCTTTAAACTTGAATTTATTTATTTATTTTTTTGTAAAATAAATTTTACAGAATTTTTCTGATAACATTGCTGTTTTCAGAATAGTTATTTTTATCTTTGTGCCTTTCTTGCTTATTTATTACTGTCCAAATGTGGTCTCTCTTCATATATCCTGGTGGAGAATGTTCCTTGAGGTTCACTAATAGAATCAGTTTTCCAGAACTATTCTTTATGTAATTTTAAAATTTTTTTTATTTTTTGAGAGAGTAAGAGAGAGAGAGACAGCACAAGTGGGGTGGAGGGGCAGGGAGCCCCATGCAGGGCTCAAACCCAGGATCCTGAGATGATGACCTGAACTGAAGGGAGATGCTTAACCGACTAAGCCACCCAGGTGCCCTGTTTATTTGTTTCATTTAAAAAGTAGTTACATGGAAGTATATACACACATGTAAAAAATGTGCATGCATACAAATAAACATTTAATGCACTATTTTTTTAAAATAATGTACTTTTCACAGAATACCTGGACACACTGTGGTAAGGTAGAAGAAAGGGGAAATTTCTTAAAAATATTTTTTAAAATTATTTTTATTAACCTATAATGTATTATTTGCCCCAGGGGTACAGGTCTGTGAATCATCTGGCTTACACATTTCACAACACTCACCATAGCACATACCCTCCCCAATGTCCATAACCCAACCACCCTCTCCCTATTTTTAAAAGATTTTATTTATTTATTTGACACAGAACACTACAATGAGAGAGGGAACACAAGCAAGGGAGTGGGAGAGGGAGAACCAGGCTCCCCGCTGAGCAGAGAGCCCTATGCAGGGCCTGATGAGACGAAGACCTGAGCTGAAGGCAGATGCTTAACCACTGAGCCACCAAGGCACCCAAAAGGAGAAAATTTTTAATTTACAGCCTCCAACTCTAGTCTTGTAATGTACACTGACAGAATATGGTTTCAGTATTGTGCTTGCTTTTATACATATATTCTTTTGTGAGACTTTTCAAAAGAAATTGAGATAGCCATATATAAATGAGATAATAGTAAATGCCTCTATAGAAAAAGAATTACTGATAACCTTAGATACAATGAGCATTTATCTTGTTTTAATTCTTTGCAGAAATACATGTAGATAAAAACATCAATATCTTATGAAACATAACTAACGCCTTAACCAGTAACATGTGTAGTCTCATATAATACCATATTTTTGTTACTTGAAGGATTAGCATTTTCAGGGTGCACTTTTAAAGTTGGCATTCGGGTAACATTTGTATGAGTTTTCCTTTTCCTTTTTTTTTTTTTTTTTGCATTTCATTATTTTTCCATTGGTGTAGGGTAAAGCTGACATTAGAGGGCCTGGAAGAAGATGATGATGATAGGGTGTCTCCCACTGTTCTTCACAAAATGTCCAACAGCCTAGAGATATCCTTAATAAGCGACAATGAGTTCAAGTGCAGGCATTCACAGCCAGAGTGTGGATATGGCTTACAGCCCGATCGTTGGACAGAGTACAGCATACAGACGATGGAACCAGATAACCTGGAGCTAATATTTGATTTTTTTGAGGTGAGTAATTATTTCATGGAGAGAGTTGAGAAAGAATGCAGGCATGGGCTTGTTTTTAAATGTTTTGATTTTTATTTTAGTCTGAGTGTAAACCCATGATTCATACATCCTTTTAGATGTTTAATTTTCTATACATTTTAGCAGGCTTAAAAAACTTGGAGTTGATAGACTCAAGTACTATAAAAAAATCTCAGTTGATGTTTTACATCAAGACCAGATGTCTTAATGTTTATGCCTGTTCTTTTTTTTTTTTTTAAACCAACGTGGGGCTTGAACTCACAACCCTGAGATCAAGAGTTGCATGCTCTGCTGACTGAGCCAACCAGGAGCCCCTGTGCCTATTCTAAGTATAAATGAATTATATAAAGGAGCCTCCAAGGATAAGCAGAGGGACGAGCAGACTGTGTAACTCTTGATAGGCAACCTAGGACTCAACATGACTGAGTCCTCCTCATGACTAAAGTGTGTAGTTTATTGAGGCATTTTATTGTAAGAATTCATAACAGTGGACTCATTTTTGCAACTTTACTTGATATTGTAAATATGTAGCAAAAAAGAGTTGCTCTGAAAATTGTGCCAGGTTGTTCAGAATCTGCTGCTAGCCTTCCAGAGTTACTCATGACTCTTAACACTAGAGCCCTCTGACTTGTTGGCTGTACAGGTGCTCTCCTCTTCACAAGTCTTGCTGGGTCCTTGGCTAACTAAGGTCCTTGCTTGATTGTGTCCAGCTAGTGGTTATGTGTATTGCTTTCCTTAGATTCTTGATCTTTGGTACTTCCACTCCCATTTCCTTTAGATGAAGGCACCCAACCATAGTTTTGTCAAAATAGGAGAAAACAGAATGGATTTAAACCCACAAGTAACATATGTTACACTTGTCAATTAAAATCATTATACTCTTTGAATTATTTAATTTGATGATGCCTTTATGCATCGCCTTTGCAACTGGCTTTTTGGCTACTTTGCATTGTACGAAATTTAAAGTGTTTCCTTTCAAAAAACTATTATAAAAGAATTTTTATTTTTTATAAAACCTGTAATTTGATCTTACCTAAGTAAGAAGATCTGTGGGACTTTATTGTTAAAATGTGAGGTTTTCGTTGAATATTTCCTTATTTCTTAAGGACGTACCTTTTAATACTCTTAAATGTCCTAACTTGCTTTTCATTTATTTAGCAGTTTTGGAAATACTATTTTATTCATAGACTGGGCTGATAAAATATCCAATGTAATGTCCAAATGAGTATTCAGTTTCCTAGAGAGTTAACTATCCCTTTATGTCCTCTGTTGGAAAGCATTTTTAGAGAATATAATGCACATTAACGGCTCACTACAGGTGTGTGTTAGTATATCTTTGAATATAAAGATACTTAGAAATTTTGTCAGTGTTTGAAATTCATCTGATACATGTTAGAGAATCAGAAGTGTCATTCGCCAGAGTTATGACTAGTAAAGTACCATATAAAATCTTAAAATATTATATACTAAAAGAAAATGTATCATTTATTTTACAAAGAATCTATCTAAATTACCTGAATATAAATTTGATTCCTATTTGTTATTGATCTTCTTCAATAGATTTTGAATTAATTTTAAGGGAGTTTGTTGACCTTTAAATGGGAAATGCTGAAGTGTAAGAATATGGATTATTTTAAACCTCATTTTTTATTTCAGGAAGATCTCAGTGAACATGTGGTTCAGGGTGATGCCCTTCCTGGACATGTAGGGACAGCATGCCTCTTATCATCTACCATTGCTGAGAGTGGGAAGAGCGCTGGAATTCTCACTCTTCCCATAATGAGCAGAAATTCCAGAAAAACAATAGGCAAAGTGAGAGGTAAGCTGAGAGAAACAGAGGGGCCCTTTATAAATGAGCAAAGGTAAGATTCGAATTTTGGTTAGTTTCAAATTGAGCTTTTGGGAATGGTGCTAAATTATTTGTTTTTAGAATATTATCTACTACAGTAGCAATAAGGGGCATCTGTGAAATTTTCTGGAAGCTTTACTTTGAATCAGTTTTGGCTTGTTACTTGTTTTCTATTTTATAGAGATTGATAAGGTTGGTTCAAGTACTTAATACTATTTAGATGCTCATTGTGGTCTTTTTAATCGGCTTTATCTTTATTTCTCCCTTTTTTTTCTATGGAAGTTGACTATATAATTATTAAGCCATTACCAGGATACAGTTGTGACATGAAATCTTCATTTTCCAAGTATTGGAAGCCGAGAACACCGTTGGACGTTGGACACCGAGGTGCAGGGAATTCGACAACGACTGCTCAGTAGGTTGAATATTTGAGCGGCATCTAGTGCTTGGTAGCTTGTGCATGATAAGGCTCCATTGGGTTGGCCCACTGAAGGTCGGAGATCCTTTATTACCTGGGATTTAATGTAATTCAAATTAAGTAGAAACTCTGTCATAAGACTCCGGACAGTCTGTCTAAAACCTACTGAACCGATGCGAAGAGGGACGTTAAAACAGAAAGCCAGGAAGAAAAGCTTGATGCAGGAAGCAACCTGAATTTCAGTGTGTGTGTTGTGGTTTCAACTTTTTCGCGTGCTCCCCTCTCTGGGTCTCGGTTTCCTCACCCATACTTGGTATTGTTTCCATACTGCTGTCCTGCTGGGTCTCAGCCTTTTCCCATTCTCCCGGTCTGCCAGGATTAAATCCTCTGAGGCACCATTGCAAGGAGCAAGTCTCTGTGTCTCTTCTACTTTATGCCACTGCAAAAGGTGGTTTTCCTTGACTGGCCACCTTACTGGGGGAGGTATGTGTGGCTGTGGGATATATTTATTTTCAGCTTATACATACTTATAGTCATTAGAGCTTGTTTTTATGGAATAAATGCATCACCAAGTGATGGTCACAGTCTTAATTTGGGGATGGCAGAAGTAGCTCCAGAATAGAGAATTTTGAACTGGTTCCATTGTTAAAGACATAGTTGGCTTCTTTTTTTTTTTTTTAAGATTCTACTTATTTATTAGAGAGAGACAGCAAGAGCACGGGGAGGGACAAGCAGACTTATCCCCCGGACTCCAAGCACAGAGCCTGTTGTCAGCAGGGCTCCATCCCAGAACACTGAGATCCTGACCTGAACCTAAGTCAGACGCTTAATGACTCAGCCCTCTAGGGGCTCCAGTTGGCTTCTTTATTACATTTGTTTTCTTTATCCTTTCTATAGTCGGTGATAACTGTTTATCTATATATTTCTTCTCTTTCAGGCTTGCTAAAGTTCAAGAAAATACTATTGCTTCTTTAAGAAATGCTGCTAGTCATGTAAGTGACCCTCTCTCTTTTTGAAAACTTGGGACTGTTGGTCCAAAGGTAGCAAAGTAGAGAATTGTGGGCCTGGGTAGTCTGTTCCGTTAAAAGCTTAAAAAGGTTAAGTAGGTTAAAAATGCGTGCTTCTGACTATGATTCTAAGCGAAGGTAAAGTATCTTTGAGCATTTGTTTTTAGATTCTTTTTTTTTTTTTTAAGTTTTTATTTATTTATTTGACAGACAGAGATCACAAGTAGGCAAAGAGGCATGCAGAGAGAGAGGAGGAAGCAGGCTCCCTGCTGAGCAGAGAGCCCGATGTGGGGCTCGATCCCAGGACCCTGGGATCATGACCTGAGCTGAAAGGCAGAGGCTTTAACCCACTGAGCCACCCAGGTGCCCCTTGTTTTTAGATTCTTGATTAGGATTGTGATGAAAACTATAGAATCCTTAGCATCTTTGTTTGCGATTACAAGGGTTTTTTTGTTTGTTTTAAAAGATTTTATTTATTGAGAGAGAGCAAGAGAGCATAAGCAGGGGGAGGGACAGAGGGAGAGAGAAAAGCAGGCTCCCCACTCAGCAGGAAGCCCAGCATGGGGCTCAATCCCAGGACCCTGAGATCATCACCCTGGTGAAGGCAGACGTTCAACCGACTGAGCCACCTAGGAGCCCCTGAGTTTACAGATTTTGAGTGATTGGAACAAGAAAAACATTCCCCATTAAGCACTGGTTTTCATTAACTGAATATTGTCTCATTCAGATACTTTGGAAATAATGATTACAGAAGGATTTGATGATGGTTTTATATAACACTTAAGTCTGTCAGTTTATCTCCTGCATACCAACTTGATTATGTTAAATTTCTTAATTCCTTTTATCCATTTATTAAAGGTTAGAGTCCATTTTTTAGCTTTTAGTTCTTTTCAGCAACTACAACTTGACATTTTTAATCAAGAACCTGAGATTTCCAGGTCTCCCCTGCTGCCCTTGTACCTGACTGAAAAGCTTCATGCTCTGAAGTTAAACTAGGGAGGAAATGGAGGAACAACTCATTCTTTTATTTTCATTTTTTCCACAGTGTGCTCCGCATGCCTTAAGCTTTTGCCTTTTTATAAAATAGTTCAGCAAGTAAACTTGAATAGTGTGATGTTTAATTTTATCACTTATATGAGCAAACATCTATTCCAAGACATACTTTTTTCATATTTGAGCATCTCTGCAATTGGTAAGGGTTTTACTACTTTCTTAGCCTTGCATCCTGGTATCATGGGCAGCATTTTTCCCTCTTTTTAGTGGTATATGAAGCATTTTATAATTCATGACATTTTACGTTATTTTAGTGTTTAAAAATATGAATAGTGGATTTCTTTGCCTTTTTGTTGAAAGGATATTAAATCTATGAGTGTTGGGCTCTACTTCATTATTTGGAACTGGTTTTCATGGTAGCTAATAACTATTCTATACATTGGTTTATTCTGTAAACACATGAAGATCATGTTAATGAACTTGCAGTGTCTCCATGCTTCTTCTTCTTTTTTTTTTTTTTTTAAAGAGAGGGAGGAGAGAATCTTAAGCAAGCTCCACGCCTAGCACAGAGTCTGACACAGGGCTTAGTCTCACAACCCTGAGATCATGACCTGAGCCAAAATCAAGAGTCGGTTACTTAATTGACTGAGCCATCCAGGCATCCCTCTGTGCTTTTTGAGAGAAAATTTCATTAAGCTTTTTTTCTTCCATGTTCTGTTGAGATCCTTCGTAAGTCATATAGATAGCATTTTAGAATGCCATATGCTAGTTATTAATGGCTTGTTTATTTTAATACTAAAAACGTATCCTTGAAGGGGTTCTGGTATGTTATTAGCTTATTTCTTAAAGCTTACGCATGGATCTAGGGATCAGATTTTATCTCTTCATAAAATTACCTTCCTAAAGGGTGGTGATCCTGTAAACATTTAAACTACAAAGCTATAATTTGTTTAATTATTGTGACTATTTAAGGATTGCAAGTTTTGTTCTCTAGTAGAAATGCTTTGTGTTACTGTCTTGTTTATAGCACCAGAAGGAGCTAAACTTACTTCCTGCTTCAGAAGTCATCGAGGAATTAGGCTCCTTTGATTCTAGTCTGTGATCCATGTGCCCTCAAAAGTTGGACACCCCTTCCATGACCTAAAGCTTGGGCACAGGTGGAAGCATGTCATCCATCCTTACACAAGCACTTCTCTAGGCTGCAGTAACGTACAGAATGCTCAGACCTAGTTTCCTTTGATCCCAGCCAGCTTTCTTTCTGTGAATGCACACCTTTGTGGGTCAGTTTATGTTCTCAGCTTTATTTGGATTAATTCCTGTGTCAGAATGGCTCTGACTTGGAAAAATGCACCCTTAACTCATTGTCATCATCCTCCTTCCTTTTGACGCTCTGTCAGGAGACTGGGCTTTTGCGGCCCCGTTCTTGACCCTCTTGCTTCTTTCTATCTTTTCAGCAGCACCTGTCATTTCCTCTTTACTCTGCTTCTGGGGTTTTGCCAGGAAAGGCTGGAAGGTGTGCCGCCCAAGTGCACCAGGGTGCAGAGCTGAGACAGTGGCTTCTTCCTTTAACCTCCTCATCTCTGAGGGTCTGGTACCTATGAGCAATAAGGCACAAGGTGACCCCGCTCCCTGTTCCGGCAGGCTCAGTTTATGTTTATAGTAGTAGCAGAGGTGACAGGCTGGCTACTACCACAGAGTGGCCCTGGAGTGTGTTCAGGTGGGTCAGTGTGCCCATGTTTTTGCCAGGAAAAAAAAAAAATTGCTGTGCTATTACAATGAAGAACAGTAAAAACATTGTAAGAGAAGAAACTACTTTTTAGAAAAGCTTGAAGCATAACATAATTCATGAGGAAGTTTTTTGTTTTGTGTACAGGTCTGTGAGTTTATAGTGAACAGTAAATTTCTTATGTCCTTGTAGTTTTAGATGTATTGTGGGCTAGATAATGTTTTTCAAGTACTCATTTCCTTTATTTCTTTTAGGGTGCAGCCTTTGTAGAATTTGATGTACATCTTTCAAAAGATTTTGTGCCTGTGGTGTATCATGATCTCACCTGTTGCTTGACAATGAAAAAGGTATGTTGAAATTCCTTCATTTTGGGGCACCTGGGTGGCTCAGTGGGTTAAAGCCTCTGCCTTCGGCTCAGGTCATGATCTCAGGGTCCTGGGATGGAGCCCCGCATCGGGCTCTCTGCTCAGCAGGGAGCCTGCTTCCCCCTCTCTCTGCCTGCCTCTCTTCCTGCTTGTGATCTCTCTCTGTCAAATAAATAAATAAAATCTTAAAAAAAAAAAAAAAAGAAATTCCTTCATTTTATTGTATTTATTTTTTCAGAGAGAGAGAGATTGGGAGGGTGGGGAGAGAGAATCTTAAGCAAGTTCCATGCCCAGTGCAGAGCCTGACATGGGGTTCGCTCTCACAACCCTGAGATCATGACCTGAGCTGAAATCAAGAGTTGGTCACTCAACTGACTGAGCCACCCTGTTGCCCCCAAATTCCTTCATTTTAAACTCTTACAGTTAGATAGGTTTAAAGGCTAGGAAGTTTGTTTTACATATATGTGTACAGTTATTTATTAGAGTTGACCAATTCATTTTTTTTGGGCAATTAATGCCAGTTCTTTCCTCTGTCAAGTTCCTGTAACATTGAGTAAGGAGACAGGAATAATAATTGCCTGGAGCAGTGTCTCTGTATTGCTGATTTGTTTTCTTCTACTGTCTAACAAAGGAACCTTCCAGGTGGCTTCTGTATAAGTCTGCCACTCTCCCTGTAGTAAAGCAAGAGAGGAAGCTGTCATAGTGTCTGTTTTCTAGCCTCCCTTCTAGTTTTGCCTCAAGCGTTTCCTCAGATTAATAGGTTAGTATGATTTGGCCAGAAGAGAAGAGCCCAGTGGAAAAGCACTTTCAAGCAAATGGAAGAGGGCCTTAGGAAAGGGGTGTAGATTTAGGAGCTAGGGGAATGTGACAGACTTTTGAGTCAAGAAGGGAAATGTTCAGAACTAAACCTCTAGATGTAAGTACCTGATGTCAGGGGACCAGAGGCAGGGGGAGTGGTAATGTGGCCAAAGGTACAGTAGGCCTGGCCCAGAGTGGAGATAGAATGGAGAATGGCACGATGGAGGACAAAGTCCAGAAGGAGATTTAAAAATGGGTATTTCCTAAAAATTGTAATTATTGTTCAAACATAATTGTGATAATTGTATAGTGCTTAAACTTTAGTGTATAAATTAACCAAGTGATTTCTTAAGAACTTACTAGGTTCATTTGGCATTTTCTCTTGGGTATTATTTTCTGTTGAGGTAATTTAAACTTAAGGCTAGTTTGCTAACATACAGCACTTTACCAGACATGATTGTTGTAGTGTACACGGCAAGGTGCCTGCCTGCTCATGGATTTGAATCAGTCATGGGGGTTTGGATTGCTATGGTGTATGAAAAAGCATGCTTCCATTTCTAGAAGTGGACCCCACTGTTTTTGCATATGTGAGGAGATAGGCTGTAAGTCTTTCTTGGTAGACCGTAGGGTCTGACCCTTCTTGTCCATAGTCTTAGGGGAGGGAAGGAGATACACCTATTTAGATAATAGAGGTAAAATAACTTAGTAGAAAAAGAGGAGATTGTTTTGCCCTGGGAAAAAAAATCAATGCAAAAGTGGACGGGAAGGAAAAATCTTTATAACCAAGATTGAGGTTAATGAATCAAGCCGTAATTTCAAAAAACCTATGAGAGTTAATGGAAAAGTGTTACTGATCCTGTTTTCACCAGACTTTGTCTTGTTCTTAAGTTGAATCTGGATGAGTTAGAGAATGAAAGTAAAAAATTATATGTATTTTTAGTTTTAATTTTCAAGCTGCTATTTTCCTTAACAAAATCAATTCATGTTCATTATAAAACTGAAGAGGATTATGAAATGAAAAATAAATCTTCCTTTCCCCTTTGTCTTTGGTAACACTCCCTTACTCTTAACAGTTTCTTGTGTGTCTTCTAGAAGAGCTATATGTACAGGTTTATACCATATGTATGTGAACGAATATGAATGTAGTAGATTTTAGCATATTTGTTGGATTGATGATTTATTGGTGGTCCGTTAATTCATTTCCTTAAGATAGGGGTGCTTAAATAGTGTGATGTTTGATATGGTAGTAAACTCTAATAAAACAGGTTTTTTCATGGGGAAAACATTTGTAATAGGTTAGAGTTCCTGTTAAGTATTACTGCTTCAGTCTAATCAGACATTTTTTTTTTCACAACCATTGAAAAAATGTGGCTGTTTTTAACCAAACTTAAGTTTAAAAGGTTTAGAAAAGTTTAGAAACTTACTGACAGAAATTAATCTTTGTATAGTACTTGTACATGTTGATTGCCTTGTCATGTAGCATGGTTATACATATGTCAGAATGTCAGCAGTATGACAGGAAGTAGGGGAAATGACTGATTCCTGGCTCAATATGTCTGCAGGGCCCTAGCCTCCTCCCAGCTGCTTTTTTCTTCCAGGCACTCTCACCTACATCAAAAACAAAAACCAGAATTTAAGAGCCGGAAGGTGGTTTTTTTAAAAAGGGGGGGGGCTCCCCTGCATGTGCTTGCTGTGGCTTGCTTTGTTCTCATCATTCACTATGTTGGGTTGTTAGGCCTGTCTAGGGTTAAACATTCAGTAATTTGAGGCCCATTTTTCTCTTTATTTTCCTTTTAGAAATTTGATGCTGATCCAGTTGAATTATTTGAAATTCCAGTAAAGGAATTAACATTTGACCAACTCCAGTTGTTAAAGGTAGTAATGATACATAAAATGAAAATGATCTTTTAGTTTTAGAATGATTTATACCTTGTTTATGTTCTCTTTCTGCATGGAGATGACTATATATTCAGCATCAGTAGACTATATGCTTGGTTCTCTGTTCTAGTAGGAAGAGTGGGTTTGTGCTAATCCATCTGTCTTCTCTAACAGTTTCCACAGACCCCACAGATTTTGCATATGTGAAGAGGCTAGGCTATAAGACTGTGTGTAGACCATAGGGGCTGACCCTTCTCATCCAGTCCTAGATTGCCTCTGGTGTGCATTAGCCCTTCTTCATAGAACTGTTTGACAGTTGGCCTTTTATGCTCTCCTTGGTTTTTATACTTCCATTACTAGGATCTTTGTATGTTTTTTATACCATGTAATTTTATATGATTATTCTTCCTATTTTCACTAGATACCTATATAAATGGTTGATTGAGTATAAAGAGTTTCTTAAGAATTTTTATATTCTTCCCTACTTGGGTATTTGATCATGATCTTAGATGTATGTGTGCACATGTAAAATATATATAGTGATTAGTGATTATTCTTACTAAACTGATTAAGTCTACATTTTATGGTTTTCTTGCTAGCTTTTCAAGTTATAGTTCTGTTAACCATATCTTCATAAACTAAGGCTTTTTTTCTTGCATTTTGTGTTTGTGTGTGTGTGTTTTCTAGCTTGCTCATGTGACTGCTCTAAAATCTAAAGATCTGAAAGGTATGTACCAATATGGAGGCACCATTTTCATTTCGTAGTTAGTATGTATATGGTATTTCCTTTTTTTTTCTTTTTTCTTTTAACATACCCTTGGTCATTTTAATGAATATAATATTGGGCTGTCTAAATCATTTTATAGACATGAAGTCTTTACATATATTCATTTTCAAATGCATTTATGTCATGTGTATAGTAATTACGAGTTTTTACTTTTATGAGTTTTCTTAGCTTGATGATCAAAGTTCTTTGTAATTTTTTACCTATCATTTTTTCCAAACGTTCTTTTTTTTCCCCAATATATATTTTTTAAGATTTTATTTATTTATTTGACAGAGAGAGAGAGAGAGAGAGCATGATCAGGGGGAGCAGTAGAGGGAGAGGAAAAAGCAGGCTCCCTGCCAAGCAGGACCCTGGGATCATGACCTGAGCCAAAGGCAGAGGCTTAACCATCTGACCCACCCAGGCCCCCCTTTTCCAAACATTCTTAACCCAAGAACAAAGTGGACGATATATAAAGTATGAAAGCTGCTCTAGAGCCAGGAGTTTGAATCCAACTCTGACATTTACCAGCTGTGACCTTGGGCAGGTTACTTTACTTTAACCACTTTGTCCCTCAGTTTCCCTTAAACTTGTCCTGCCTATAAAATCCCTTTGTGATTGTACTTTACTTGGCACTCTCATAGAACTTCATAGTTTGTGCCATTCATTTGAGGTTTAATGGCTCCTTTTTTTTTTTTAATTTTTTTAAAAATTTCTTTTCAGTGTTCCAGAATTCATTCTTTATGCACCACACCCAGTGCTCCATGCAATACGTTCCCTCCATAATACCCACCACCAGGCTCACCCAACCTCCCACCCCCCTCCCTTCCAAAACCCTCAGTTTGTTTCTCAGAGTCCACAGTCTCTCATGGTTCATCTCCCCCTCTGATTTCTCCCAACTCACTTCTCCTCTCCATCTCCCCATGTCCTCTGTGTTATTCCTTATGCTCCACAAATAGGCGAAACCATATGATAATTGACTCTGCTTGACTTATTTCACTTAGCATGATCTCTTCCAGTCCCATCCACATTGATATAAAAGTTGGGTATTCATCCTTTCTGATGGAGGCATAATACTCCATAGTGTATATGGACCATATCTTCTTCATCCCTTTGTCTGTTGAAGGGCATCTTGGTTCTTTCCACAGTTTGGCGACTGTGAATGGCTCTTTTTTTTTTTTTTTTTTTAAATTTTATTTTTTACAAACATATATTTTTTCCCCAGGGGTACAGGTCTGTGAATCGCCAGGTTTACACACTTCACAGCACTCACCATAGCACATACCCTCCCCAGTGTCCATAACCCCACCCCCCCAACCCCCCTCCCCCCAGCAACCCTCAGTTTGTTTTGTGAGATTAAGAGTCACTTATGGTTTATCTCCCTCCCAATCCCATCTTGCTTCATTTACTCTTCTCCTACCCCCTTAACCCCCCATGTTGCATCTCCTCTCCCTCATATCAGGGAGATCATATGATAGTTGTCTTTCTCCGATTGACTTATTTCGCTAAGCATGATACCCTCTAGTTCCATCCACGTTGTCGCAAATGGCAAGATTTCATTTCTTTTGATGGCTGCATAGTATTCCATTGTGTATATACCACATCTTCTTTATCCATTCGTCTGTTGATGGACATCTAGGTTCTTTCCATAGTTTGGCTATTGTAAACATTGCTGCTATAAACATTCGGGTGCACGTGCCCCTTCGGATCACTACCTTTGTATCTTTAGGGTAAATACCCAACAGTGCAATTGCTGGGTCATAGGGTAGTTCAATTTTCAACATTTTGAGGAACCTCCATGCTGTTTTCCAGAGTGGTTGCACCAGCTTGCATTCCCACCAACAGTGTAGGAGGGTTCCCCTTTCTCCGCATCCTCGCCAGCATCTGTCATTTCCGGACTTGTTCATTTTAGCCATTCTGACTGGTGTGAGGTGGTATCTCATTGTGGTTTTGATTTGTATTTCCCTGATGCCGAGTGATGTGGAGCACTTTTTCATGTGTCTGTTGGCCATCTGGATGTCTTCTTTGCAGAAATGTCTGTTCATGTCTTCTGCCCATTTCTTGATTGGATTATTTGTTCTTTGGGTGTTGAGTTTGCTAAGTTCTTTATAGATTCTGGACACTAGCCCTTTATCTGATATGTCGTTTGCAAATATCTTCTCCCATTCTGTCAGTTGTCTTTTGGTTTTGTTAACTGTTTCCTTTGCTGTGCAAAAGCTTTTGATCTTGATAAAATCCCAATAGTTCATTTTTGCCCTTGCTTCCCTTGCCTTTGGCGATGTTCCTAGGAAGATGTTGCTGCGGCTGAGGTCAAAGAGGTTGCTGCCTGTGTTCTCCTCAAGGCTTTGGATGGATTCCTTTCTCACATTGAGGTCCTTCATCCATTTTGAGTCTATTTTCGTGTGTGGTGTAAGGAAATGATCCAATTTCATTTTTCTGCATGTGGCTATCCAATTTTCCCAACACCATTTATTGAAGAGGCTGTCTTTTTTCCATTGGACATTCTTTCCTGCTTTGTCGAAGATTAATTGACCATAGAGTTGAGGGTCTATTTCTGGGCTCTCTATTCTGTTCCATTGATCGATGTGTCTGTTTTTGTGCCAGTACCATGCTGTCTTGATGATGACAGCTTTGTAATAGAGCTTGAAGTCCGGAATTGTGATGCCACCAACTTTGGTTTCTTTTTCAATATTCCTTTGGCTATTCGCGGTCTTTTCTGGTTCCATATAAATTTTAGGATTATTTGTTCCATTTCTTTGAAAAAAATGGATGGTACTCTGATAGGAATTGCATTAAATGTGTAGATTGCTTTAGGTAGCATAGACATTTTCACAATATTTATTCTTCCAATCCAGGGAATGGCTCCTTTTTTTTAACACTTGATTCTGTATATGTCCTGTCTCTTCAACTAGAATATAAATCTCTCTAGGGTGGAAAACATGTTTTTGTATTCCCCAAGACACTTATAATGCTCTGTATATAGTAGGTGCTCGTTAGATATTTATCTGCAATTGTGGTAACAGGGTGGTTGGAATGACTTTATGAAGATACTGTAAAGTGTTAAAGACTCCAGAGGTTATCCCCAGAGCACTGATAGGACTTTGTAGGCTTTGTAGCTGTTTCACGACTGTTAATAACAAAATGAATGTTATTTATTATTTTTATTATTATTATTTAGTTGGAAATTTTTATATGACTTTAGTCTTTGTAATACACAGGGTTTTTTTTTAACAAAATAAAAGTTTGATAATTAGTTTGATACCAAATTTTTTTTCCCTCTTGGAAAAAAATTCTTAGGTGTCTTGAGATATAATCTATTTTTAATTAAATGGTAGTGGTAACAAAAGCACAATTTTAACTTTTCTTTATATTTTCTTAATTTCTAACTTCTGAGCTGATTTTAATATTTCAAAAAGAAGCCTTAGCACGAGAACACAGCTTTTAATTCCATTGAGAAATAATGAATTACTGCTGGTGACTACTTTGTAAAAAGTAGTATTACAGTGTCTATAAGAAAGTACTCAACTGTTGGGGCCTCAAACTTGGTGTTTCTATGAAATGTGGTAAACTAGTTTTCATAAAGGATGCTTATTTCCTTGAAAAATACTGCATATGAAGGGATCTCATAATTAACTTTACATCTCTCTCTCTCTCTCTCTTTTTTTTTGGTCCTGAGAGTTTAGGATAAGATCTTAGTGATAAAATAGTATCATATCTACTGAGTTTTTATAATTTTAATTTTCAGAATCTGTGGTTGAGGAAGAAAATTCTTTTTCTGAAAATCAGCCGTTTCCTTCTCTTAAGATGGTAAGTTCCTTAGGGAAACTAGCAAAGACTGTCTCATTAATTCTGTTGTAACTGAATTAGTTATTTTGGTTTCTTAGATGGGCACTAAAAAGACTGTGTCAAAGATAGCATTTATATAAGCTTGTCATTGATTCTTTTTAGAGAAGATATATTTCTGTATGGTGTATGTATGCTGCTTTTTTTTAAAGAGTAACTTCTCTGCCCAAATGAATAAAAATCCCCATCTTAATGGATTAATTTGATAAGAACAGGAAATTCACATATTTCTGTATACAAACAAGAAATAGAGGGCACAGAAGAAGGGGTGGGAGGGACTGGTGATGGTAAGAGAGCATTTTTACAATATTTAAAACTGTCCCTGGTGCGCCTGGCTGGCTCAGTCAGAGGAGCATGTGATTCTTGATTTTGGGATTGTGAGTTCCAGCCCCATTTGGGTGGTGTAGAACTTACTTAATTAAATAAAAACTTGGAAAACAAACAAACTGTTCCTTAGCTTTTAGAGAGAAATGAGATTCTCCAGCCAAAGAAAATAACTACCCTCGTTACTCAAAATGAGACACAAATTTCAAGAATTCACTTGAAAAAGTATAACAAATACTAGTACAAAGATTTTAAAACTAGACACAATTCATACAGGAATCCCTTTACCAGTATCAGGCAAGTCCCTGTGGATGCCAGGCACTCCTTGCTCATGCTGGGTCTGCTTTCTTTCCTTCTGGCTCCTTTTCTAACTTCTGTTCTTCTCCATTGCCTTTTTCTGGTGATGTCAGGTACACTAGATGTCTTGGGCAACAGTTCATCATGATTATTTACACCTCAGAAAAGAAGCTATAAGAGCGCTCGTAAAACATGATTGGGATAATTTTCCAGATTTTTATGATGCCCAGCCAAGTAACGTCATTCCTTCTGGTTCAAAAATCTGAAAACCTTTGGTTCTGGGAAATCTCATGATTCCTAGACTTGTGATTAAAAACAACTTTTAAAAAATTGTGTATTGGGGCGCCTGGGTGGCTCAGTGGGTTAAAGTCTCTGCCTTCGGCTCAGGTCATGATCACAGGGTCCTGGGATCGAGCCCCCACATTGGGCTCTCTGCTCGGCGGGGAGTCTGCTTCCCTTTCTCTCTCTGCCTCTCTGCCTGCTTGTGATCTGTGTCGGTCAAATAAATAAAATCTTTTTTTTTAAAAAGTGTATTAACGGTTTAACATTTACTTAGCCAAATACCTTAAACACACTTTTGTTCATGTACTTTGGCACTGTCACTATAATTTAATCACAGAAATTTTAAAACCAAAAAGACCAAATAAAATCTGTTTATTTTTAAGAGAGGTAAAGAGCGTGCTCAAGGGAGGTTGGGGGAGGAAGGGCAGAGGGAGGAAGAGAATCTTAAGCAGGCTCAGGCTCAGCGTAGAGCCCTACTCAGGGCTCGATTTCACAACCCGAAGGTCTTGATCCGAACTGAAATCAGGAGTCGGATGCTTAACAGACTGAGCCACCTGGGTGCCCCTGAAAGTCTTGATTTAAAAGAGAATCTTAGTAAATTTGATGTTTAGCACTCTCAACACTAACATACACTATTGTCCTTATTTTTCTAATGTTGCATTAGTCCAGTAAAAACGTGATAGGTACATTAAATAAAATAAGGCTAAAGGTATCAGAGAAGAAAGTAAAAAAGCTCCACATGAAATTGAGTACACAGTTTTAGGTGCTGTATTTTACATGCAGTGGGTTGGTGTAGACCCCAGAGCTATGCTGGTGGAAGGATTTGAGGTGAAAGATACAACTTTGTGATGGTAGTGCATCTGCCATCACTGACGCTGCCTGAGATTGCTGCTTTTTTTTTTTTAAAGATTTTATTTATTTGGCAGAGAGAGATCACAAATAGAGAGAGAAGAGGAAACGGGCTCCCTGCCTAGCAGAGAGCCCGATATGGGACTCGATCCCAGGACCCTGAGATCATGACCTGAGCTGAAGGCAGAGGCTTAACCCACTGAGCCACCCATGCAGCCCGAGATTGCGGCTTTTGTTGTTTAATTTCTGTCGACTTTCTTATTTGACTTAATCATCAACCAGATTGTCAGTTTGGGTTTGAGAAAAGATAGTGGTTTCTGCTGAAGGCACAAAACATTTTTATCCGTACTTAGTGATATGTTTTACTATAGGTAGCATTTTGTAATAATTCTCTTTTCCTTTTTTTTTCTTCTCTTATTCTGCTGTTCATCTCACCAAAAACAAAACAAAATTCACCTCCAACAAACAAAACTCTAGGTTTTAGAGTCTTTGCCAGAAGATGTAGGGTTTAACATAGAAATAAAATGGATCTGCCAACAGAGGGTAAGTAATCCTTGATGTAATGCCTTCTTCCTCTCTCCCCCTCATTTCTTTAAATGCATTTATTCCCATCTCCTTGTTTTAATGGAAAAGTAAAGCTGAAATCTTACTGTGGCTTCTCCCAACATTATTGGACCTTTTCAATAAAGCATCCTTTATCCTTATACTATATATGAATACTTAAAAGTAATGATGAATGTATCATAGTATAAATTTCAGTTTAAATGTGTCTTGTGTGAACATTAATATGGATTATTCTGAATATACTTAGAAAATGAATGTGAAAACTGGACCGTTAACTTTATAACTGATTAGTTTTTGTTTTCTTATTCGCCATCTAAATATTTATTTTAAATAATTCCCTAAGCAGTGTCCTGTTAGGTGGCAGTAGTAGCTGGTAATAGTTAACCAAGAAAAGAAATTTCCATAGGTGTGTTGTAAATCATTCCCAGATTTAGTCATTTTTTTGTTCAAAAGTTTATATTGAAAATGAGGCATTTTGTGGGTGCTGGGTTCAAGTTGTGAACAAACAATAAACCTTACCTTCTTGGAACTCTTATAGTCTAGTTGAGGAAAACAATTAACTATTGAATATATCAATGGGGATATGTATAAATGGTTGGGATGCATGGGAAGAGGGTTCTTGGGCCTGGGGGTTGTTGAAAGGGTTTAATTCGGGTGTGATTGGGCAGTCAGAGCAATATCCTGGATTTCTTTTGGCAGAATACTCTATAACTGCCCTCAAATCTTGCTTTCTAAGTAGCTGTTATATATGATAACCTGGTCGCAGTTAACATTGTAAGTGATTTTTTTTAATAAGTGATTTTTAGTTTTCTGAGCTTTTAGGATTATTTTAATGACTGATATATAAAACATATAATATTTGAATATCAGCAGGGCTCTTAGTGTCTTCGCTATATTTAGAGAATATTTTTATTGTTTGTTAAGGGTACTTGATATGACTTTAAGAGCCAAAGAATGAAGCTTTTAATTAGTGATTAGTAATTACCTGGGTTTTTTTGTTGTGGGGGGCACTTGGGTGGCTCAATTGGTTGAGCATCCAACTCTTGATCTCAACTCGGATCTTGATCTCTGGGCCATGACTATAAGCTCTTTCTGGGCTCCACACTGGGTATGAAGCCTACTTTAAAAAAAAAAAAAATAACCTGGGTTTTTTGGTAATGAATTAGCAAATGAAGTCCTTTTGTCTTACAGTTCATGAAGATTATATAAATATTTTTTTAAAAAGATGTTATTTATTTATTTGAGATAGAGTATGAACATGGGGTGGGGATAGTTTGGGAGAAGCAGACTCCCCGCTGAGTTTGGAGCCTGATGCAGGGCTCCATCCTAGCACCCTGAGATCATGACCTGAGCCAAAGTCAGACGTTTAACCGACTGAGCCACCCAGGCACCCCATATAAAAATATTTTAAATATTTTTAATATTTATTTTAATATTTTAGAGTGCAGAGTTCCAGGGTTTTAGCTTTTATTTTGTTAACTTTATTAAAGCAAATTTTATTGATGGTATAATCACTTTGTATATGTGTCTTTACCTGAATTACGAAAGCTGCACAATCACTAAGTAGCTATGTGGTCTTGGGCAAGTTACTTAATCTTAGGCCTTTGATTTCCACAGGTAAAATAAGAGTTAGATTAGATGATCTCAAGATTTTTTTTTCTGGCACTATGATTCTAGGGTATCTAATGACTTTTGTTTTCCTATTTATTTCTTCTACATAGGATGGAATGTGGGATGGTAACTTATCAACGTATTTTGACATGAATCTGTTTTTGGATATAATTTTGAAAACTGTCTTAGAAAATTCTGGGAAGAGGAGAATAGTGTTTTCCTCATTTGATGCAGATATTTGCACAATGTGAGTAATACTCAGTTTTTCACCCTTAGATAGTAGCTGGGATTTAGGGTGCAAAGATTATGGTTGAAGGTAGGAAGGTTGCCCAGACTTCACCCTTGACTTGACCTCTAGTCAGGTTACATATGTTTTCACATCCCTTTAGGTGCAGGATGCCCTCCCAACTCCTCTAATGAACTCTACACCCACTGGATCCTAGTACCTCACACCCTGTGTTTCATTTTATAGGCATGTAACATCCTCCTTACGAACTCGTAAGCCTTCAAAGGCTTTCTTATTGCCCATTCTGAGAATCTTTCAGCTCTTGTATAGAATGATTTAAAATCTTTCTTTCTGATTGACAGGTGTAATACATGTTAATGGTGATTATATCTCAATAATGGGATTACGCTCTTTTGGGGGAGGTAGTTTCTTTATATTTTTAGTTTCCTAAAATTCTAAAACAATATATTAGAATTATCTCTCTGATGAGAAAAGTATTTTTAAATTGTCTTTTTTAGGGTTCGGCAGAAGCAGAACAAATACCCCATATTATTTCTGACTCAAGGAAAATCTGATATTTACCCTGAACTCATGGACCTCAGATCTCGGACAACCCCCACTGCAATGAGCTTTGCACAGTTTGAAAACCTCCTAGTAAGTTATGCTTGCTTTTTTTTTTTTTTTTTTTTTAAAGAAATGTCTGAGAGCAGTAGTAAATATGTTTTCATGTTATTTTACACATCTAATTGGTTAGTTTTGACACATTTATAACAATCTTATAGCTCTACTTAAATAAGGATATTAGATCTCATACTGAAAAGCAGTTAAATGAGCAACAAAATATTTTCTTGCAGGCCTAGGTCAAGTAAATTTTTGTAGGTTTTTTTTTTCTTTTAGTCTTTTTTTTTTTAATGTTCAGTTGACATTTAATATTGGGTTTTGGTGAGTTTTTGTAGATTTCTGAGTGTATTTTATGAATCATCTAAAATGGCTGGACTGAAAAAATATGTTAGAAGTTTTTCTTCCAATATATTTTATCAAATTTAAAGTTCTAACATTTTTTTTCTCTACTCACTCTACTTTGGGGAACATTGATGTAGATTATGACCATTTAGCATTTGCAGTTAATAAGTTATTTTTTCATGAGTAACTAATTTTTCTTCTTTTAGGGGATCAATGCTCATACTGAAGACCTGCTCAGAAACCCGTCCTATATTCAGGAGGCAAAAGCTAAGGGACTAGTCATATTCTGCTGGGGTGATGATACCAATGATCCCGAAAACAGAAAGAAACTGAAGGAACTTGGAGTTAATGGTCTAATTTATGATAGGTATTTGTTTTTCATGAAAAGTTTCCATGGATTGTTAGAAAAAAAATAGTTGTTTTATAAAATTAAAAATAATATTAAATTTAGTTAAGTTAAAATTCTGTAGTTCAGCCTGAGGTTTATCTTAACATTTGTCAGTGGAATTTTTCAAATTCTGGAGTATAGCACAGCCATGTGGGAAGCTTATTAAACATTTGGATAACTGGGCTCTATACCGGATGTACTGTCATCTTGAGGGTTGGGGGGCTATCTCCCCCAGACCTCTCTCTGCACCAGCTTTCTTGGGGATCTCACCCAGTTCTGTGTCTTTTCATACCTTTATTCTTTAATTTTTTTTTTTTTTTTTAATCTCCAACCTTTGTGTCTTTCCCCTGACTGCCTAAACTTTTATATCCAGCTACCAATACCTAACCTTTCTATAAGACTTCCTTATTTCGATGTAAATGACAACTCAGTCTTTCCGGTTTCTCATTCCAAATCCTGGGAGTCTTGTGGCTCTCTTCTTAAACTCATACTCTAAAACCAGTCAGACAGAATCTTTTTGATTCTGTCTTCAGAATATAACCTGAATGTATCCACTCACTGTATTTACTACTGTCACTGTCTGCTAAGACAAGCTCATTTCTCATGTGGCTTATTGAAGTCTGTCTGCTTACCAACCACTCCTTTATCTACGCCTCCTTGCTCTCTGTTCCCGGCACGGCAGCCAGAGCGGAGCCTGTTCTAACTGAAAGCAGATCCTGTTACTGCTTAAAACTTTCCCACAGTTCTCTTTGTCACCTAGAGTAAAATCCAAAGTCCTTCCAAGGCCCCACGTGAGCTGATTGACATCTTTCTTCCTCCATCTCCTACCCCAACACACCCACACAAACATAAGCTCCACAAGGACAGGCTCTTTGCCTGTTTTGGTCACTTCTGTATCTCCAAAAGTTAGAACAATATGTGACATGCAGTAGGTGCTCAAATATTTGTTGAACAAAAGTTTTTTCCTTTTTTAATAAGCTCCCTAGGTGTTTATGATAGAAGTTTGAGAGCCACTGATCTGAGAGATTAAAAGATTTCTTAATATAAAGAAAGTTTGGGTTAGGTGGGATGTCATTTAGTCTGCTAAGGGATTAGCAGGCTTTGTAATACTTGAGCAACATCATATAAAGAATAAGTGATGAAATTCTTACAGGCCTGATTTAAAAAATACTTTCCCTGAATTTAGTTCACTTTACTTTTTGTCCTATGTAGTTAATATCACTTATGATAGACTCTTCCAACTAATTAAAAGAAGATAAAATTTTTACAGTAACCATTTGAAAGAAATGCTGGCTTTAGCAAAATTTTTGAAGATTTTTCTTGGAGGAAGAGGAAGGAATGATTGCAAATATATTCTGGCAAGAAAATGGTTTGTGAGACAGATCCTTTGAAGGGCCTTAACTTGGTTGGAACCAAATTGTGACATGTAATGGAGAACAGGAAGATGCTTTGTGATATTAAAGGCCCTGAAGAAAGTGAGCTCTTTCTGGCCTGGGTCAGTAAGAATAATTTCAAAGAGGAAGCCTGGATTTGGATTTTGAGAGTGGCTGTTTGCTTTGACAGGATTTGAGTTTTAGGCAGAAGCAATAGTGTGACTCAGGGCAGGACTGTGTTGAAGGTGTGGAAGACGTTGAGGAGATAGCCTAGGATGGGGCTTCTGCTAGGGTCTGTTAGGGTTGTGTTTACCTGCAAAAGTTTGGGGGTTTTTAAAATGTTTTAATTAAAGAAGTGTGTGTGTATGCAAGGTTTACAATAAAAACCAGCAGTTCCCTATGCCAATCCCTTTCATTGTTTTTAGCTGAGTTCTTGTGCCTGAATGTTTTTTACTGCGAGAGAGAGAGCGCGCAGCACATGCAGGCACAGAGTGGGGGGCATAGTGAGAGGAAGTCTTAAGCAAACTCTTGCCCAGTGTGTGGAACCTGTCTCATCACCTGAGGTTATGACCTAAGCCAAAATCACGCTTAACCAATTGAGCCACCCAGGTGCCCCACCCTAATGTTTCTTTTAGCTGTTTCTTTTGGCACATAATATGGTTATGCTATTATTTTTCTTATTGTCAAATCTAGACATAATAGGGAAGATTTTGAACAATTCATGATTTTGGAGCCTTTGATCTCTTTTACATTGGGGGAATTGTTCATGAGAGTCGGTGTTTTAGTTGATCAAAACTGATTTTTTTCTCTTCTTTCCAAAGGCAGTAACATATTATGGATTTTACATTTAATCATGGTTTTATGGTACATTATCTCATATAAAAAGCTATGTTTGATTTGCTGGTATTTGGAATTTTTGCATTTGTGATAAAGAGTAAGATGACCTTTAAATTTACCTTTCTCAACTGGTTGTTGTCTCATTTTGGTATGGGGAAAATACTGCCTCAGTAATTAGGCAGTGTTTCCTCTTTTTATTAAAAAAATTACTATACCTGCTCAAATGATTAAAAAATAAATTCCGTAACAAACATACCCATTTAAAGTAAAGAATGTTATCATTAGATTTGAGGTCTCCCATATGCCTCTCCCTAATCTAATTCCTTATCTCCTCCCTCAGATAAAACTGCTTATCAGATTATTATTCTCTTTGTAAAAATTTTAAATTCTGTTTCTATCACTAAATAATATACTATCTTTAAACTCTATTTGTACTTTTTTCTCACTTGTGATAATGTTCTTAAAATTAATCTATTTGTTGTATATAGCTATAAGTTGTTCATCTTTGTGGCTATATAATACTCATGGCTATGTCTCTATTACAATTTATTCTGTATGAGAACATTAGGTAGTTGCTAGGTTTTTGCTTCTGCAGTGTTTGCTGTAAACATTGTTGAACCAAGCCTTCTAGAAAACATTTGTAGAATTTCTCTAGGCCAGTGACTTTCAAACCTTCTTGACCCAACCCAGCTAGAAATGCATTCTACATTATGACAAGGTGCACACATTGATACGTATATCTACAAGTAAGTACCTGAAACAGAATTTTAAAAATAATGGCCCTTGGACATTTTCTGTTTGTATGTGTACTTTTGAAATGCTAGTCCATTTTGCCACGGGCCTTCATGTTTTTAAATGCTAGTCTTAACTTTCCAAAGTTGTTTTGCAACCCATTGTAAGGCGTCTGTGGGTCATGTATTGGAAGAGTATGTAAGGATTAATGTCCTGTGGAGTGGATGGTTCTGTATTCCTTGGTTCTGTACCCATTGTAGCCTGCTACCAGTTCTCAGGAGGAGGCCAGTGCGTAACAAACTGTCTACCTGACAGTTTATTATCATCAACACATGGTTAAGCCGTGTATAGTTAGGATTCTGAATCAGGCCTGCTAGGGCGCTCTGTCCTTAGGGTACAATGCTGGTCCAGTGGCATTGGCCCTCTTGGAGTGACGGTAGTTCCCCACATGCCTTCCTTTTTACTCAGACTGCTCCTAGACTCACTGACTTCTTTGGGTGCTGCTGTCATCCTTAGTGAAGACCATTCCCTGACTGTTCCTGTGTCAGAGCTCCCATCTCCTGCAGTCCTGATCTTTCCCCTTCCCTGTCATTTTTATGGAACACATCCTTTAGTATCTTCTTGAGAAAGGAAGACAGGGAAGTAAATGTTTGGTCTTGCATGCCTGGAAGTATTGTGGCTGGGCATAAAATTTCGTGTTACTAATAATTTTCTTTTAGAATTTTAAAAGCATTTCTCTGTCACATTCACAGTTTCGGTGTCACTATTGAGGAATGTGAAGCCATGTTGATTCTTGTTCCTTCACATGTGATTTCTTTGTTTCCTATCTGGAAGCTTACAGAGTCTTCTTTTTGTCACCAGTGTTATAAAATTTCATAGAGATGGATCTTGGTGTGGGTCTCCTTCCATCCCTTGTGCTGGGCACACAGCAGCCCATTTAATCTGTTGATATGTGTCTTTGAAGACGCAGAGATTTTGTGAATTATCCTTTGATTTTTGTCTCTTCTGTTTTTCTGGGTTCTCCCCTCTCCCGCCCGTTATAGAAATCCTTTAGTTTACATACTATTCACTCTTGGACCAGACTTCTAATTCTTACGTTTTCTCCTATTTCCTATCTTTGTCTTTTTGCTCTACTTGGAAAGATTTCGCCAACCTTATCATCCACCGTTCTATTGCGTTTTTTCTGTCTTTAATTTTAAGAACTGTCTTTTTTCTCTGAATGCTCTTTTTTCTTCTATGTATAACATCCTGTTTTGGTTCAGTGAACTATTTCTGTGAAGGCATCAAGGACTTCTTTTGTGTCTTTGGAATTTTTTTCTCTTTGACTCACTCACTGTCTTACATGTTAGAAGTTTTCCTCGGTTGTTGGGAAATCCTTGGCTGCTTCTCATGGTAAGAAACTGGGATCTAAATGCTTGTTAGAGGCTCCTGAATGTGTGAATGGGGCTTGTTAACTTGGATTTCACTGAGGGGTGATCTGGGTGGCCTGTTTGGTCATAGTTCTGCTGTCAGTAGATTTAGAACTTTACTTTTTGGCTGACCAGATTCCTCACAGAAGAGTCTATATAAACTACCTAGAGGACCCAGATCTGGCTCCCAGGGTTCTTGGGATTCAGGTAAGGGAAGAGAGCTGGGGAAGGGAGGGCATGTCTCTGAATTTTGCATGTGTTATATGTATGGACTGTCTCTAATTCCCCTGGTGCTGGTGGCTTTTGTAAAACGCCCAAACCCTCACCTGGTGGTCTAGTCCTCCATTTCAAGAGGTTTTCTGTTAAGTTCTCGAAATCAAATAAACCTAAGTGGGGGAGCGGGGTGCCGGGCAGCCTTCATGGCAGGAGTTAGAAGGAAGGGGATGCTTAATGCTGCTCAAGAGCCTTTACTCATCCTCCCTGTTTTAGCTGCCACCCCCCTCTTTCCCCAGTTCTAGGGGAATCTGGTGCTGCTTTTAACTCAGCCTTTTCATGTTTTCCACTACTGGCTTGTGATTTGGCCTTTTATGTTCTGCTAACTGAAACACTTTGTTATTACTTATGCATCTGTTTTCCAGCTTCCAAAATTTTGTTGCTGTGTGTCTCTTTTTTTTCCCCCCCATATGCATGGATTCTTTTTAAATCCTTTTATTTTCTTTTTAATGGAATATACAGAGAACATATAGTTGCTTCTGATTTTGGTCTGATATCTTGACCCAGAGGTCACTTCTCACTCTCTTAGAAATTCTTTCCTACTATGATGTCACAACGACCTCTGCTGTAGCATGAGTTGCCTGGCCCTCACATTTAGGCCTGAAAGGCCATCCTCTCTCTGCTGATGGGCAGTGCAGTGCTGCCGTTGTCACATGGGACTTTTTCTGGCCTTTCAACTAGAGGTACCTTGGCCTAGGCTGCACAACTTTAGGACAGTTCTCACAGTCCAGATCTTCAGTGCTTTGAAGTCACAACTGGGTATGAATTCCAACCCTGCCTCTTAATAGCTTCCCATCGGTAAAATGCGGCATTGCCGGTTGCTTGGCTTGGAGAGAAGATACCTGACGAATCAATCACTAGTAAACTACAGGTTTATTTCATTTTCTGATTCGGTTGCTTTGTAATCCGTTCTTTTTCATTATGGGCACAAAAGGAAATGCTGCTATTCTGTGTTGTTGGAAAGATGGAAGAGAAGTATTTTTAAACTGAACTGATAACTTACATCTTTTAAAAGGGAGGTGGGCTCTCGCACAATGGATATTCCAGGCATTCTGTAATCAGATTGCCCTGAAAAGGTTAAGGCAGACGGATCTTAAGTAGACCATAAAATTATACTGTTTTTTGTGTTTTGTGTTTGTTTCATCATAGGATATATGATTGGATGCCTGAACAGCCAAATATATTCCAAGTGGAGCAGTTGGAACGCCTGAAGCAAGAATTGCCAGAGCTTAAGAGCTGTTTGTGTCCCACTGTTAGCCGCTTTGTTCCCTCATCTCTGTGTGGGGAGCCTGATATCCATGTGGATGCCAATGGCATCGATAATGTTGAGAGTGCTTAGTTCTTACTGGACAGAGGCCGTCTGGGGGCGTGCACGCTGTTATGGGTATTCCCTTTTCATCATCGAGCATCGTCTTATCTACGCCTTCTAGGTTTCTCCGTCCAATGAAGCAATAATGAAGTATTTTACTCTTTTCACTACAATTCTTGCTCGAATTCCAAGTATGCTATTTAAATCACTTGGCCAGGTATAATTACCCGTCAGTCTCTTTCCAGTGAGAAAATTTATTGGTTGGCAAACATATTAAACGGAATAGCTAAACATATAATGTTAAACAGATGTTCATTAAAAGCATAGTGCTTTGAAATTAACTATATAAATATCTTATATTTACAGTTCTTACAGCTTTCATTTGATCAGGTCTGAAACATTTAGCACTTGGGGAACATGACAATGCATAATTATACCTGACCACGGCAGAAATAAGTACCTCAAACGCATGCATTTGCACTGGTGATTCCAGCCGCACAAACCTGTGTGCCATCTATGTATATGTGTATTTTTTACATGGATTGACATGCACAGACCGCATTTCCATTCAGTGTGAACCTTGAGGCTGCCGCCATTGTCCCACTTAACCAAACCAATGCCTGTGTAAGCAGCCTGGAGGTGATCCTTGAAAACTTGTTTCATAAGTCTTTCAAAAATTGTTTTGCATAAATGTTAAAATGCTGCAGGGTAATTTAATGTATGAAATACTAGAAGTATGTCTATATCGTTAATAGAGTAGATCATAATGTATAAATCCTATTGAGTGCATGCTTTAGGTTTTAAGCATGAGATTATACGCGTTTACTGTAAGTCCTTGCATCTGTGGTGCTAGGTGAGTGTGAGAAGGTGTCAAGGACTGAAAATATTTTGTTGCTTAAAAAAAAAAAGCCTGTTTGTAGGCATTTTCAGTATGCTTATCTTAAGTGTCTCTCACTACCTATTACACACCGTTGCTTTGTGGGTTTGTTGTGTGTGTGTTGTACAGTAGTTAAATCTCCATGCAGAAAAATAAATGTCCTGAATTCTCATATTGGTATTCTTTATTGGTTAATGTATATGAGGCATGTAATTTATTTAGAAATGTAGAAGAGCCTTCTAAATGTATGTGCGTGTTTTTAGGATTATACGAAGGTTTCTTTCGTTAGATGCTGATTGTTTTGGCAAACTGTAACTTAAGAATGAATGTTAAATAAAATATACAGATTTATTTTCTTCCTTATAAAACAAAATTTCAAGAAGGTATTACTTTTGTAGAATTGATTCTATACTATTATTGTGAGAAATTGGAATTTAAGAATTGGAATCCTGCCCTAAAGCGATGGTTTCTTTGCATCTACTTTTTCCCGCGTGTTCTTCACTAGGCAACTTACTCACGCACTGACATATTTTAGTACTAGCTGAGAACCTAAGACTTGGAATTACACGTTGTATCTTTTTATTTTTTAAAGCCAAACAATGCAATTGTGGTTTAGTCTTAATTGTGTGAAGACAGGCTTTGAACTCCTGTGCTGTTGGGCTGTAACACCATTATATTTAATGGAAAAGAGTTTAGGAAATGCAGTCTTCTGCAAGTGTTCGATATACTTTTCCCACGTTGAATGAGATTTTCCCATGCTTTGGTGTGAGTTAGGCAGTTTTAGAAAACTCCTAAAAAGGAATTCATTTTCTTTGTCTGTAGACCTTTGTACAATACAGTGACCATTACCTTATGGTAACTTGATTAGCCATAGGTGTGCGTTTCTGATCTTGTTTGTTTGCTCTCCTCCCCTCTGCCTTTCCATCCAGTGGCAATGCAGCTCCATGTTGAAGACTCACAGACCATTAAAGGAAAGGAGAGGTGATGCGGAAAGGGGGGAGTTTCCTGAACAGTGTAATTTGCTACGAAGAACTTAAAAGGACTGCTTATGCCCCAGACAGAACCTCACTGCTCCCTTTCTTTCCTGTCCCTTCCCAACCTTGCAAACCAGGGTTAGCAGACAGTTAAAGCATAGCAGTAGCTCCCCATTGCTAAAGGACTGAGTCTAGGCTTCCTTATCACTAACTGTTGCCCTGTACACTCTGCTCCAGCCACATTATACCCATGGTAGGCCCTGGCCATGCCATGCTCCTACACTGTGTCCTGTCTGTAGCCATGTGCCCTCTGCCTGGGAGCCCTCTCCTCCCCACACTCTCTCCCTGCCACACTCCTTTCTCCTGAGCCATCAGCCTCTCTGGAGTTCTTGCTGGAAGTTAAGCAGAAAGGTGTGAATCCATCTCTTACTCCATAGCCGTATGCTTGTACCTTGATCATGCCTTGTGTCCTAGCACATTCTTAAGTAGACGTAGTTGTTCGTCTCACCTACCAGGCTGCGGGCTCTTTCAAGGGCAGGGAACTCGTCTTACTCTCCATTTCCACAGTGCGTGTAATATGGTAGAGAATAAATGTTGGAATTGTTGGGATAATATAATTTGTATCAAATGTCCTTTTGAATTAAGAGATTTAATTATGTTTACTAAGAATGTAAACTTTGGTTTACATTTTTTGACAGTTGGAACAGTTTGTTGATGTCAATTTTAAATGTAGAGGTATAATGTTAAAATCGTTTTATATTTTCTGGAAATCGAGTGCAATGTTCGATAAAATGCCGCCGTTGTTTTCTACTCTCTGGAATTATGTACTGTAACTGACTGGATGTAAATTTGAGGAATACAGTTCATTACTGTGTCGGTAGTGCCTAAGGGCTACCACAGCCACCCATGACCTCACTCCCATCGTCCCTTGTGTTTTCGCCCCTCCAAACCCCACACTTATGCCTACCTCAGTGTCGCTTTCCTTGTCCGAAATGCCTTCTCTGTCTTCCCTCTGTGTCCAGCTCAGGTGCCACCACCTCCATAAAACTTGGCTCAGCTTTTGATCAGAATCATGATGCAATCAAATGCTTACAGCCTGTCAATCTCACGACTTCTTTCCCAGCTGGGCTGATAAGCCCAGGGAAGTTAACTGACTTACCAGGTTGGGACTAAAACTGGGTTTTGTGATTCCTAACCCCATGTTCTTAAACTACGCTGCCTTCTGAATTCTTGTGGCATTTGTTAGCATGTGCTTTCTACGGTCTTTTTATGTGCCTGTTCTATTTCCCTAAGATTGTAAGCCCCTTAAGGGCAGGGACTTCTTTGCATTTCTAGCACTGCTATCATGTTCTCTCCTTAGGTATGAACTAGACAAATAAATGGCGGTGGCAACGGTCCTAGTTTCCTCACTCAGATTGTTTCACAGTCTGCATTCAGTTTTGTATGGCCTGCTTGGCTATGTCGTCTGGAGTGTGTGTGCTCGTGTGCATGCGTGTGCATGTGTGTCTGCATGTACCCTCGTGGAATTCCCACTCTGCCCCAGTTGTTTAAGGTCACAGACGGGTTACCGTAAACCAATTTTCTGCTCCGTGCTGAATGAGGACAACTGTGGGACCCAATGGAAGGTGAGGTCTGGTTTCTCCCGCAGGCCTGGCTGGCCCTCCCTGGGCTGATAGACCTAAATCCCGCAGCTGGTGGTCTGGGAGTGCGGGATGTGCTGCCTCGGGTAGGACTCAGGTGACCTGTGGGCCCGCTGTCTCATTAGCCCTGGCGGGGCGTCACTGCCCTTTGTGCCTCGGCGCTTCCTCTTCACAGCTGATCACATTCTGTTTCACGTTTCTACTGGTTTGGTACTCTGGGTTGGCAGTGGAGGCCTGTTAATTCAGATTTGGATATAACACTCCTTTTGCATGTTAGGTTTGGATTGTGTATTTTGAAGGTAGGAAGCAAAACGTACATATGAAGAACATTGATTATTTTGTTGTTCCTGAGTGGAAGTCTATTCAAATATAATCTGTGAGTTTATATAGTTTGAGAAATGGATTTGAAATGTTTAAAATGCAAGAGAGCATATGATTAAGAGCGTTTTATATTTTCTGTGTGTTGGAGATAAGAGGAAGAGATAATAGGTTAAAGCAAGGCTCTTGAGCCCTTGCAGAATGGGGTAGATAGAGGTCAGGGTAGTTGTGAGGCCTCTTTGGGGTATGGCCTTTGTAAACTCAGAGGCCAGGGTAGTAGTTGTGGAGTGTTGAGAGAATGAAGGAATCATCCCGATAATGGAGAGGATTTTTTTTTTTAATGGATTTTAAAGGAAAATTAGGGAAATGTACTTTTTAAAAAAATTTTAATTTTTTTCAGTGTTCCAAAATTCATCATTTATACACCACACCCAGAGAAATGTACTTCAAAATAATGAGGAAAGTAGTATTGGTACAGGAATAATAAAAGAAATACAAAGATTAGTTTATCTAATCCTCTACTAAATTGGTCCAAGCATCCATCTTACCTGCTCAGACCAAAAACAGAAATGCAGATGGGATAAGTGAGTTTCTGAAACTTAACTTGCACGTGTGCAAAACTAAACTAACGTAATGTCACAGGAAGAAAACTTAAAAGCGTATAGCAAAAGTCTGTCCCAGGGTTTCAAGTGTGTCTCTCTACAGCCTGGATTTCTCCTGTTAAGCTCAGAATCACACCTCTAGCTCTGTGTCCGTATCTTCACTTGGAGGTGTAATGGGCACCTCATATGTGTGTACCGCCAAAACACTCTTCTTCCTTCCTGTAAAACTGTTCCCATCCCACTTCCCCCAGTGATCTATGTCACAGTCAGCCATACTCAGGAGTATTACACTAATCACAAGTTCCCAGTAAGAGAGAGCTCATGGAACTTTATATTATGATATGTGATAGGTCAGTCGCCTATTTGTTTCTTTTCAATTAAAAAAGAAATCGTCCATGTATTCTTTTACTTAATAGCATAGAATCATCTTTTGTGTCAGAAAAGTCCCCTTGGGATTTTTTTGAACAGTGTTGGATTGATTTTCTAGATTAATATGTGGGCAGGATTAATGTTTTAAAAATAGGGTTTTTCCAGAACACAGAGTGTGCCTCCATTTTTTTTCAGAATTTTTACATCTTCTAGGAAAATGAGTTTTTTCATTTATGTGTTGTATACTTTTTCTTACATTTGAAAGAATTAACGAGTTTTAATTCC